CTGCGGACCGCCCTGCGCGGCCTGCTCCGCCCCGCCGCCGTCGCCGCCAGCCTCGAGCTGCTCGCCGTCTGCCTGCTGCTCTGCCTGCTCGAGAAGATGTCCGCCGCCGACGCCTCGTGGAAGGTCCACCTGCGCGGCGCCGCCCACATCGTGCACGCCATGTACTCGCCCGGCGGCCTGGCCGCCGCCGGCGAGACGGGCCCCGCGCTGACCCTCGGCAACGACAGCCTGTCCATCCGCCGCTTCCTCGTCTCGCTGCTGTCGTACCTCGATGTTGCCGCGTCCTGCGCCACCGGCGAGGCCCCGCTCATCGCCGGCGACTACTGGGAGACGCTCGGCGGCGGCTGGCAGTACAACCTCGGCGTTCCCGACTTTGCGGCTACGCAGTGCGCGTCGAATCGCGACTTGGCCCAGGTCCGCAGCGCCTGGTCGAGACTCATGTCGGTACAGGCCGAGATCAGCGACTTTGCCAAGCTGCAGCGTTCGGGCCTGGACGAGCAACAAAGGGACGCTATAAAAGCCGAGCTTGTCTACCGGCTCAGAAACTGGCATGAGAGCGCTCCGAATGTGTTTTCCAAACTGGAGAACCTGGATGCGATACCCGACGACGCGACCGACGATGAACGCGAAATGCTGACCGTCACCGCTTGCGTGGGAAGTTACGCCCTGGCATGTACCATATATCTCGAAAGAGTCGCTACCAAGAGTATAAAGAGCGCAGCCTATGATGGCGAGATCAAGTCTGCCGTTGACCGGGTATTGACGCTTACCCTAAACTTTTCTCACGGTATTCACCAACTAGCCGTCGTGTGGCCACTCCTCACGGCGGGCATCGCCACATCCGACCGGCACAAACAGGAACTATGCCGCCAGAAATTAAGCGGCATGAATGTTTTCGGGTTCAAGGTACGGTGAAACTCTAACAACTAGACGTATATGCCTCCGCTCTACTAAAATGACTGTACAGCACGTGGCCCGGGCATTGGACACGCTGGAGCACTGTTGGCGGCAAGCGGACAGCGATGATGAATTCGACTACGCTGCGTTTGAAGAGTTGCTGTCTTCTAATCTGGTTCCTTAAAAACAATACCCTTCAGCTACGATTGTAAGGCGTGAGCGCGGCAAGTGCAGCGCTATCCAGTCTTTGCCTCTCCTGGCCGTGCCAGCACGACAAGCACATCCCCCGGCTTGACGACATCGCCCGGCGCAACCACGACACTGTCCACCACAAGGCCCGCTTGCGCTGCCGACACTGCTATATTGATTTCCATCTTCATCGCCTCGAGGATGAGCATAATGTCGCCGTTGTTGAGCGTGTCACCCTTTTGTATCTTGATTTTGTATATGCTAGCGTGCATCTCGGCGTCAATCTTCAGGGCATCGTCTACTGGTGTCAGTTCCCTTACTCATTTCACAGCTAATTATGACGTACCAATTTCCTCCAAAGCTGGGACGGCGTCTCGCTCCACCGTTTGCTCTTTTAGCCACTCTTCAAAGATGCGTCTCTCTCTACATCTGTGTTAGCAGGGATCACGGACGGTATCGTGCAAGGCGCCCGCACTTCTCAGTCTCAATTTCGGTAGCCTGTTTCTGCCGGGCTTGGAACGCGGTCGTCTCATCGGCCACGCTTTCGCAGAACTTGGTGTATTCAACCACGTCAAATTCGGTCGGCGTAATGTCAAACTGGTACTTGCCGGCCTGGAAGCGGCTGTAGATGCGTTCAAACTCGTCCTCATCCACGACGTAGAAGCTGAGCTGGTCGAAATTCTCAAATAGCCACGGTCTCTTGCCAAAGCTCTTGTTGACGCAGAATTTATCCCAGCCGGGCAGTGTGCGGCCAAAGTTGACGTATCCTCCGGGTGCATCCTGTGCATGGCTTGTTAGTTGAATTTCAGGTCTGGTATGTTTGGTAACCCGCTCCGTGGCAGGCCCGATCAAGCATCGCATCAACGTACAGTCGGGTCGCAGCAAAAGAAGCAGCCGCCGATGCCGAGCCCCCCTGCGGGCGAAAAGGTCCTTGACGGATTGAACTTGGGAACCATCAGCCGACAGCGCGGGTCAACTGGAAACCCAATCGGCGTGCCGCTCCAAAATCCCACCCCCACGACGAGAATTCTGGTACTGAGCACCTTTTCCAGGACCTGGTGCTTGGACTCGAGGCCGTTTGAGCGAGCGATAAACTCGACAGGGTCGGGAAGATACGAGGCAGTCGGCCGCTGCGTCTTCATGTACCGCTCGACGGAAGCTCTGTTGACTTTGTCGTCAAAGACCATGGGCAGTCTTATGTGGCGGCTGGATAGTTTGTTCGACAGCAAAGGAGATGCCCCATGTGCTCCGAGTATGCTCTGTATTCTGTCAACTAGTTGAGCCTGGCAAATCTTGAATCCATCGTACTGGACCAGGAGACCTGTGACAATGTCAGCTACATCATGTCTCAATATTCTTGGACAAACTTACTGCACCCAATCGGAGTAACTAAGTGTATCCCGTCAATTATACAGTTGTCAATGGCTTCCGTTACTGCCTGTACCTTGCAACGGACTTCCAGCTGCAGCGATTGCAGGAACTCCACCAGCACGTATGAATCGCCTGCTTGTCGAATTGTGACATCCCCGTGCGTGCCGATAATTGCCGTCGAAGGAGTGCTAAGCGCTAGACTTTTTGCTTGAAGCTTCAGGCTCGAAAGGGCCTCCGATGTTTTAATTCCAGCTGCAAGGCGTTTCACATGCTGTATGTAGGTCTCCTGTGCCTGATACAGATCCATGGCAGACTGGAGCGTAATTTGCGCAAATCGAAACTGGTCACCAGGCTTCAGCTGACCAATCTTGCACAGCTCAGCCCGCGGAATGACATGCGACGTCACGAAGCCGCCCAAAGACGGGGCATCCGCGGGAAACACCACTGCCGAGTCGCCCGTCCAATTGAGCGCCCCCAAGGAATACGGATAGTCCAGGTAGTTGCTCGGATGCGAGCCGCCCTGCCCTCCCGTCTGCCTCGCCCACTGCGGCCGCGGGCCGTCGAGGCGAACCCCCGTGCGGGAGGCCTGATGCGAGACAGTCCACTCTGACGCGTAAATCGCCTCGGCGCCCGAACTTGTCATAATATCGGGGGAGTCATGTGGACCGGAAAGGCAGTAGACGGTCTTCAGATCCAGGACCGGCACAAGCGCCGAGGGAAGTGTAAACGGCACAAACTCGGCCGGCGCGCCAATGTCCAGCAGGTCTCCCGCGACGAGCGGGCGGCCCTGGTGGCCTCCCACCTCAATGATGGGACTCGTCGACTTGGAGCCCAGATAGGTAGGAATCCCAGGCAAGCCGCCCTGTATTGCAAGATAGGTGCGGCACCCCTGCAAAAGGCGACCAATCGTCACGACGGAGCCGGCCGGGACCTCGATCCGCGCGTACATGCTCACGGGGCGGCCATCAAGACGCGCCTCGACGACACCGCCCGCCAAGGCGATAATCGCCTTGCCATGGAACAGGATGGTAGGACCTGTAAAGGTAATTTCGAAAAGTTCGCAGCCCGGCTCGTTGCCCGCGACGCAATTGGCGAGCCGCGCATGTAGGGCATCCGCTGGGCCTCCCTCGGGGATGCCGAACCCGACGCCGACTCTGCCCGGGAAGTCCTGCACGGTGGTATACGATCCAGGCGCGACAATTTCCAAGGCGCGGGGCGTGTATTGAAAGGAATCCAGAACAGTGGTCGTAGTCTGTCCCTGCAGAAACCACTCGGTTTCGAAGATGCGGCGCACATAGTCCGTGTTGGTCACGACGCCGCGCAGCTTCGTCTTGTCGAGGGCCTGCCGCATTTTGGAAACGGCACACGATCGGGTCTCCGCATGCACCATGACTTTGGCCAGCAAGGGGTCGAATGCGAGCGAGATGTTGGTTCCGGTCTGCACCCAGGTGTCGACGCGGACTCCCGGATCGCTGCTGAATTCCACCAGCTGCAGCTGGCCTGGGCTGGGGAAGTAGTTCTTGCCAGGATTCTCGGCGTAGATTCTCGCCTCCATGGCCGCCCCGGACGGCTCCAGCATTTTCAGATCGCAGAGGTCCAGCGGCTGCTCGGCCTGCTGGAGCATCAGCGCGACCAGGTCGATGCCGAAGCGCAGCTCGGTGATGCCGTGCTCGACCTGCAGACGCGTGTTCATCTCCAAGAAGAAGAAGTCGCCCGTCGCGTCGTCGACGAGATATTCCACCGTCCCCGCCGATCGGTAGCGGATGCTGCTGGCGAGCAGTCTCGAGGCCTGCACCAGTCGTTGCCGGAGCGCCGGCCGGGCCGCGACAAACGGGCTCGGCGACTCCTCAATGACCTTTTGGTGGCGCCTCTGGATCGAGCACTCTCGCTCGCCAAAGGCGACGCAGTCTCCGCGCCCGTCGCCAAAGACCTGGATCTCAATGTGGCGAGAGACGGGAAAGTAGCGTTCCAGAAACACGCCTGGGTTGGAGAACAAGGCGGTGCCTCGGCTCACGACACTGGCAAAGGATGAGCGCACTTCGCTTTCGTCTTTGCATATTTTCAGACCCTGTAAAAGTTAGTTTTTCCTGCGTCCGCTCTTTCACACCGTTCCTCAACTTGCCATTCCGCCGCCACCCGCCGTGGCTTTGAGCATAATCTATACAAGATCCGAACGTGAGTATATTAAACCTCAAAAAAATGGGCTCTACCTACAGGGTATCCGATCCTGGAGGCTTCCAATACCGCTTCATCGGCAGACTGCACGATGCCGGAGCCGGGGCATATAGGAACGCCCACCTGCGCCGCCACGTCCCTCGCGGTATGCTTGACGCCAAACATGACGATGTGCTCAGGCGCAGGGCCGACAAAAACAGCGCCCGCGTCTTCCACGGCCGCGGCAAACTGTGCATTCTCGGAGAGGAAGCCATATCCTGGAATCACAAACTCGACAGCTTGCTGCCGAACGATGGCCACGATTTCGTTGATGTCGCTGTAGGAAGACACCGGGACGGCAACGTCGGAATCCGTTACATGGGGGCTGGATGCGTCGCTTGGCATGTAAATCGAGATGATGCAGTAATTGAGTAGCCGCGCCGTTTTGAGGATGCGATTCGCGATTTCTCCTCGGTTGGCGATGAGAAGCCGCTTAGACGGTGTAGGGGCAGACATGGTGCACTGCGGGGTAGCGGCGGTCGGGGAGTAAGTACGGATGTGTTGGACGAAGAGAAATTACGAATGTATAGGTACCTGGTTTATACCGTCATTTTATTGTTTTTGCAGCATAGATTCTTAGTTGATCAACGAGGATAGCGTGTCGTCGCATCCCAACTTCCTAAATAATGCTCTTCCTCGATGCTGTCCACTCTAATGCGTGTCACACCTACAAAGTATGGGCTTGCCGGCTATTTTGAGTAGACTTATCCTCCACCGGATAGCATCCTCGTCGAGACATGCATATTCTAGTAACTCGTGGAATAGTGGCGGGTTTTCGGCAGGTTCCTACCAAGGGCGGACACCGCATGGTCCAAGGCTTGCGCCAAGAGTGGCGGTAACTGCGCCGGCTGAAGTTCAAATTTCCGCAAAGGGTGCCTTCCACGAGGCTGCAATGCTCGCGAACTGCAATCGTCCACATCCACGAGTCTTGCAGCCTTCATGAGCGGGCACCAGAGCACCTCGCATGGTGTGACTGGGGCAATTCGATACATCATGTCTTTCGGCGACAACTCCTGAACAGCGCAACTGCACGAGCAAGAATCCACGGACGCAGCCACCGCCTGTGTGGCGCTTTCTAGATACGCCCCGAAAGTAGCATGCATCGACGAGCATCATACTGCACCTTTGGCCCTCTACACGAGGCTTTCTCGGCTGCATAAATGGCGGACTCACAACAGCCACGAGTACTGACGGAGTGGCTTTCCGGGTCGAGATGCGGGGTATCGTGTCGAGCTCGTTGGCAAACAACCTGTGGTTGACCTTTATGGGCCAAGTTGTGTAGATGCTCCAGGACCCTGTTTTGTATGCTGTTATTACGTGTGCGCCATCAGCTTTCTTTCGAGGCGAGTCGACTTGTCTTCATTGCGTATAGGAGCCCCATCCCTTGGGTACAAAAATGGCGACCACATCATGGAAGTTAATCGCCGAGGTTAGTCGTGTGTCCTGTCGTAATCAAATATACTCACGGTCAATAGCGTCACCAGAACGCACGCGCCGCCGCGATACCCTCACAATGGGTTCTGTCACCGGCAGAACTTGAAAGAATTAAAACCTCGACAACCCGAGTCATTGAAGTGCTGCCCAAGTTGTTACCAAGCCAGGTGGTTGAAATCACGGATTTAAGCGCCACAGAGCTGGCAGCCAAGATACGAGACAGACAGTACTCGTCTGTGCAAGTAGCCGAGGCGTTTTGTCAACGCGCTGCGGTAGCCCATCAGTTGACGAATTGCCTGACCGAGATATTTTTTGCCGACGCACTGGATCAAGCTCGCCGCCTCGATCACATCCGTGATACTACCGGGAGAACCGTCGGTCCCCTGCACGGCGTGCCAGTGTCGGTCAAGGACCACTTCAATGTCCAGGGCCAGCCCACCACTGCTGGGTACATCTCGTACGCGGACCGGCCCGTCAAGGACAAGGACGCCCACATTGTCGCCATCATGCGCAGCGCCGGTGCCGTTCTATACGCCAAGACCAACAACCCGCAGTGCATGATGGTTCTCGAGACGGTCAGCCGCATCTACGGACGCACTCTCAACCCGTGGAACACCGCCCTCGGCGCCGGCGGCTCCAGCGGCGGCGAGGCGTCGCTCATCGCCCAGCACGGGTCGCCGCTCGGCATCGCGTCCGACAGCGGGGGCTCCATCCGGGTCCCGGCCGCCTTCCACGGGCTCTACGGCTTCAAACCCTCGGCCAAGCGCGTTCCCACCGCGGGCTGGGAGTGCACCATGGCGGGCGCCGAGTCCATCACGGCCGTCGCCGGCCCCATCGCCCGGAGCGTGCAGGATCTGGAGCTCTTTTTGCAAGTGGCGCTCAGTACCGACCCGTGGCTCCAGGAGCCGCTGCTGGCGCTGCCGTGGCGGTCGCAGACGTGGCGGCTCGAGACGCACAAGCTGAGCGTCGGGTTGATGCTGTGGGATCAGGTGGTGATGCCGCACCCATACATTACGAGAGTGCTGAAGGAAACTGCTGCCAGACTGAGGGAGGCTGGGCACCAAGGTAGATGCGTTGCTGGCAAGGATCGACGTGCTGATTGGAAACATCTGCTGACTTGTCATCAGTGTTCGACTTTGCGCCGTACGACCACAAGCGGGCGTGGGATGAGATTCTGCTGCCGCTTTACTTTACCGACGGTGGTTTAGACATCATGCAGACCCTTGCGGCCGGAAACGAGCCGATCCTACCGTCCGCCGAGAGACTCCTTTCCGACCCCATTGTGAGGCTACGTTCTGTGAACGAAGTTTGGAAGGTAAGCGACGCCCGATTCTGAAGTTCTCCTCTCACAAGACACTCTGACGTGTGATGGAAGCTCAATGTGGACCGTGACGCGTACCGCACAGAATATTTACAGAAATGGGCGGCCACGGAGGAAATAGGCAGCTGGGACAGACCAATGGACGTGCTGCTGTGCCCGGCCGCACCGCTCCAAGGCACGCCTCATGATGTGAAGCCCTGGTGGGGATACTGCGCCCAGTGGAATCTCCTGGACTACCCCAGCGGCGTGCTTCCTGCGGGAAGAGTCCTGGAAAGCGATGCGTATCCGGAGGGGTACCGGCCCGCCAATGATCTGGACAAGGAGAATGCGGCGCTTTGTGAGTCTGCTCTCGATGCATATAAACACATGATGTTGCAAAATTGTGAAGAGTCGACGCACTGACGTTTGAAAAGATGACAATAGCATGTATCTGGGGATGCCAGTAGCCATCCAGGTGGTTGCTTTGACACATCAAGATGAAGCGCTTATAGGCGCAATGAACGTGATTGACAAGCTTGTGAATGAGTCACGCACAAGGCCTTAAGTCCCATGTGCTGGATCTCAGCAAGCAAGCACTGCATTTCAAGGGCTCCTTTCTATCCAAGTCCGCCTCGTGCTCACACCATGCCGGTGACCTTGCGGGCTCATACTATAGTACTTTCATTCCTGGTTTTTTCTCTAGTCTTCTAATTGAGGAGTATAATTACCAATAGTAGTTTTATTTCATACCAGGTGAGATTCATATTTTGGTACTTGGTGGCGACTTTCACCCTCCTTCGTAAGTCTTACAAACACACAGCTGCTTTACCCGGGGCTGTGCTCGCTTCAACTTGTTCGACCTCGGGCTTACCGACAGATTTCTTTGCGTAGTGAGGAATTATGACATCAACTAGTTGCATTCAGTCAGTAATTTTATGGCTCATTATACGGTCTTCCGTCGATAGGTGGCAGTACCTTCTTCACTGTAGTTTGTCTCGCGAGCTTTCATCATCAGGACAAGCATGATGGGAATAGACAAGACTTGCAAAGCAAGAGCAAAGGCTATCTGAGCCCTGTTTGTACAAATTTGTCAGCAAACTGCTTGCTCGTTTGCATATCAAGTTGACACGTACTGGTAGGATACTTTAGCCGCCGCCATTCCAAATTGGACCGCGACGCCGCCTGCAGCAACGCCCTTCCAGAGTCCACCGTAAATGGCCAAGACAGTCGGCTCGTTGGTAAAGGTCCCCATTACCCACATGCCAATCTGCTGATGGGATCCGTACAAGATGCCAAAAACAAGATACAGCACAAACGGTCCCCGAAATTCGCCAGACGCCCAGTCGACGCCCCCCTCCGGCGGTGACGCCCAGACAGTTGACACGGAGACCCAGATGAGCAGGGCAGTCCAGCCACTGCATACAAGGACGCCGAGCACGCTGATTGATATGTACCCCCGCACACTTCGGCGAAAGGGCAGGCGGTCTGTCAAGTAGGCGCACGCCACAGAGGCAGGAAGCTGGACGAGGTAGAAGACAATGTTGTTCATCGCCCGGATCCGCAGGTTAAAGTAGCGACCGCTCACAGACGGCAGGATGCCGAGGACCAGCTCGCAGCTAAAGATGACGGGCAGCATAGCCAGAACACGGCAGTCCCGCAGCACCCGCGCGACGCCCTGGAGCTCCTGTGCGAGCGAGCGGTTCCGAAACACGGCAATGGGCGTGCCATCCGTCCGGCGGACTTTCTCCGGGCTCACCAGCCCAAAGATGGTCAGCGGAAACGCGAGACAGATGAGCACAATCATGACAATGTACACGCTCGTCGGGCTGCCACCCGCCGTCGCCGCGGCATCCCGATATATAATCCCAAACGCGACGACGGATCCCACCACGCTGCCCAGCTGGTTCACAAAGTACTGCACGGCAATGTACGTGCCCTTTTCGCGCTCCGTCGCGTACGCCCACTGGACAAAGCCCGACGCGCACCACAGCATCGGCGCGGCGAGCCCGAGCAGCGCGCCGGCGAGCACGGGGAACCACGCGCGGCCGGTGCGGTCGTAGTAGAACAGCCCGGCCACGTAGACCGGGTACCCGGCGACGCCGAGCGTCATGGTCCGCCGCGGGCCCAGCCGGTTCAGCAGCGCGCCGGCAAAGAAGCCAAAGACGGCGTACAGGCCGTACAGGCAGCTGTTGGACACGTCGCTGACGCGCTGCGACGAGGGCTTGCCGCCGCCCGCGCCCAGCCCGAGCACGGCGAGATAGACGCCGACGGTGAAGAAGAGCACGGCGCCTGAGATGAGGTTCTGCGTAAAGGTGAGGTGGCGGGACAGCTTCATCGTGGTGCTGGCAAGGACGGGCAGCAAGAACTAGTGGTACTGGGTGTCAATGATTTGGTGCAAGATTGGAAATTGAGTCGTCATTCGGGCGAGGCCATGTCTTTTAACGCTGGATCACATATCCGAGACATGCCAGCTGGCGTAGGTGTTAGGGCAATTTGCTCAGGCAGCCCGGGAAAGGAGGAACAATGTGGACCGGTGAGTAGGATGATATCCTGGTCTGTACGCGGTGATCTTTCACCAAGATTATGAGGGGGTGGCGCAACCAGTTTGTTCCTGAGTGACTGTGGCGTCGAGGATGGCCAGGTTGGGATATTTCCACGAGCAACCACCTCGCTCAGCCTAATGAGCAGTGTAGACGTAGAGTGCAAGGAAGCTGGGTGAAGAGGATGGCCCCTAGAATGGATTATGTTTTGAGTCAATTGTTACTTTGAGAAATAATCCGCACATTTGTACTTTGAAAGGGCGAGGTAGATCTGGTATAGATGTTGTTCGTCTTGTTTCGGCTGTTTCTGTAAAACAGCTCACACGGTCGATGAGTCGGGAATAAACGCCGCAAGGTCATGCCAGTACAGAGACTGACCGTTTCGACGCGCCTCCCACGCCGCATCAAATATCACTCTCGTCCTGTCGTGGAAGCGGCTCGAGTAGCTCGAAATGGGCGACAGCGACGACAAGTAGTCTGCGCGCTCACTCTCGCTCTCGAGCTCGAGACAAGCGACAATGAGCGGAAAGTCGATGCACACCGGGATGGACCCGGTGACGAGCGCCGTGACCTTGACCGACGTCAGCACGTGCGACGACATGGCCTGCGCGGCCTCGTCCTGCTCGCCGAAGCCGCACCGCAGCCGGTGCAGGACGAGCCGGGCCGCGTTGCGAAACGCCTCTGCCTGGCAGAGCATGTGCGCGACCTCTGTGGGCGTGAAGCGCCCCTCGGCGAACTCGGCGCGGCCGCCGGGCATCCACAGCCGGACCTCGCGCTCCAGCGCGGCGTGGGCCAGCTCCGCCTGGCGCAGCGCAGCGGCTGCGTTGTCGTCGGCGGCGCGCGCGCGCGCTCGCTCGCGCTTGAAGCGGAAGCTCAGGGCGGCAACGTCGTGCAGCAGCGGCAGGATGCTGTGGGCGATGCCGACGAAGCGGTCGACGTACTCGGGCCCGTGCAGGGCGTTGCGGTAGCGCAGCGTGGGCGGCTCGCAGAACATGATGCTCTCGGCGACATTGGTCAGCTGCAGGCAGGACATGAGGCAGAGGTCGTCGGGCGGCGTGGCGGCGAGCAGCGCCTCGTCCGTGTACACGGGCTTGACGAGCTCGAGCGTCTGGCGGCAGATGGCGCGGGCGTCGGCGACGCGCAGCTTGAGGGTAAAGGAGACAATGGTGGCGCCGAGCACGATGCAGAGGCACATCTCGGGGGCCGTGGCGGGCTGCAGCGAGCGCAGCGTCGCCACGGCGCGCGTCGCGTGGTTGTACATGCGCTCAAAGTGGTCCGAGTGCGCCTTGGCCGACCCGGGCGCCGGCGAGGTCACGTCCGACTCCTCGCCCCACGACATGGCGCTCGCGATGAAGGCGTGCCCGAGCGTGAGCGGCGCCCCGTACAGCTGCCGCGCCATGTACGCCCGGTGCGTGGCCCCGAAGCTCGGCCCCACGATGAACTGCTCGACAAACTGCTCGCTCAGGATGCTCTGCCGGAGCAGCCGGGCCTCGACCGTCGACAGCCCGAGGTCCGCCACGACGCGGTCGAGCATCGACGACGTCTCGTGCGCGTCGGCGTGCGGCGACGCGGGATGACTCGCCGGCGACGCCGTCTGTTGCTGCTGCTGCTGCTGCTGCTGATCCCGGGCGGCGGCCGGTGCTTTCTTGGGCCGTCGCCCCGGCCGCTTGGGCGCCCGCTGCCGCACGCATTCGTGGTTGAGCCGGAGGCATCGGTCGCAGCTGTCCGAGTCGGGCGCGCGGATGCAGCGCTCCTTGATAAAGTAGCAGCGGTCGCAGGATCGAGGAATCTGCGACTCGTGCATTGGGACGGGGGGGTGCCTCGGGCGTTTGGCGCGAGGAAAAAGAAACGCAGAGGGTTGCTTGAGGGTAAATGTGGCCATCAGCTCTTGGCAGCGATGAGGAGCGGGCAGCAGTGTAGGACAGATGGCCGCCCTTGGGGTAGGTAGAGTGCAATTGTCGTCGGTCCGCCGCGCCATGCGGGGTGGTTTCGTTTGGTCGAGGCAAAAGCTGTTCATGTAGTCTGATCCGACTATAAAGCTATAAAGACGGCGGGACCGGATGTCGTTAGTTAGGGGTTGCCTCCTTGTTACGCTTGTCAGGCTTGTTACGCCGGCGTCGGCGCTTCCGACCGCGCATGCGCAGATGCGAAACAGCGCCGGCAAAATAGAGTTGATACCGTGTCATGATGCGCCAACATTTCAACCTATGCTTCGATTCATACTGTCTGCAAAGAACATGGATCCGTCGGACTCCCCGTCGCACATAGAAAGCCTATTCAGAGTATCCGTAGTCTCCTCCTAATTGTTTATCCGGCTCTTTCATCTATGATTTGAAACTAGTTCCTTTGAAACTCATTGAATCACTTTGAAGATTTCATACGATATATTCCCAGGCAGCACCATCACAGTACGTTATTGGGTATACGCACTGATGGCCCATGTCGCTCTCACACTGCCCAAGTTGGGGTAACTCCACGAGCCAGCCACACGCATGCAGGGCTGTGAGGCGCCTGCAAACTAGGCAAAGTCCACGACAGGATGAGATGTCTTGTATACATGCTAGGTTTCTCCACGAAAAATCAGCATCGTGTGGCATCATAACCTTGAGCTGCAGAAGCTATATGCTGGGGCGTCGTATGAACATTGTCCACCGGCGCAAGGATACATAAATTGCTCGTGTTTCCGTATCGCGACTTTCAGATATCTTGCACATACAAGGTATCAAGGGATGCAGACTAAACAGCCACCGTACCAACCTTAGTAACCGCTATTGACACCCTTGACAGCACGCAACCAAACACGACAGAGACCAATTTGGAAGACAACATGGCAGACGCCACGACAGACACCACGACAGACACCACGGCATACACCAACTTACCATGGGCCTCCCAACCCATCCGGATTCACTGCGACATGGGCGAGGCCTTTGGCAACTGGACCATGGGCGACGACGAGGCCATCATGCCGCACATCAATTCGTGCTCCATCGCCTGCGGCTTCCACGCCGGCGACCCCATGGTCATGTACAAGACGATCCAGGCCGCCCGCCGCCACGGCCTCGCCATCGGCGCCCACCCGTCCTTTCCCGACCTGCAGGGCTTCGGCCGGCGCGAGATGAAGATGGACGCCGTCGAGTGCGAAAAGATGGTCATTTACCAAATCGGCGCCCTCAAGGCCTTTCTCGACATTGAGGGCATTCCCATGTCCCACATCAGCGTAAGCCTCCTTTTGCAACCTTGTGTTTGAAGCCATCTACTCCCCCAAATCACACTCACTCCCTAACGACATTCAACAGCCGCACGGCGCTCTCTACGGCGTCATGTGTAAAGACGCCGCCATCTGCGCCGCCGTCTGCCGCGCCGCCCGGCACTTCACCGCGGCCGACGGCACCACGCCCGTGCCCATGATCGGCGCCTCCCGCACGCTCATGGAGACGACGTGCGCCGCCATGGGCATCCCCTTTGTCCAGGAAGTCATTGCTGACCTCGAATACGACGCCCACGGCGACTGCGTCATCACGCGCACCCACGACGCCGTCGACCTCGCCGCCCTGCGCGTCCGCGTCCGCGACGCCCTGCGCACCGGTCGCATCGCCGGCCAGGGCGGCCCCGTCGATCTCAAGCTCGGCAGCGCGCCGCTGAGTCTCTGCGTCCACAGCGATACGCCCGGCGCCGTCGGGGTGGCTGCCGCGGTGCGGCAGGTGGTGGACGAGTTTAATCGGCAGCGGTTTGGTGTTGCTAGTACGGAGGTGTGATGGAGAGATGTAGCAGGGAAGAGCCGTCGAGAAGATGGATCAACAAGTTCATGAAATATACCAATAAAATATATCCCAAGCAAGACTGGCGGTTGGTCGAGAAGCATGGAAACGCGCGGCACGTTGGCTGCGTCGTTGGCTGCGTCGTTGGCTGCGTCGTTGAATCATTCATCTCTCCGCATCGGCTATTATATCCGGTGTGCGGATGCCCACTTCCTGGAATAGATGCGTCAAATAGCCCTATTTTTAGGCTTGTCTGACACCTGCAGCTTCGAACAGTTACTCGGACAGTAGACAGGGATTGGCCCGATGGAAGTGCGGTCAACGACATGCGCGCGCTCGCTGCAGGGAATGAGACGCGAATCACACAAACGCTGCAAAAAGAGATTGCTGCAGTCGTTCACTTTGGCAAATTTAGAAGATCGCCCTCAGAGGACATTCCTCATAAGGCGCAGAATCAGGGAGTAAGATAGGGGGATGTAAGTCGAGAGACATGGTTCTTTCGTTCCAGCCAAATTTTGCAATTTTCTTTGTGTAATTAGTATATTTACTACTGTTTATCATTATAACATCTCTTCCCTTTACTCAGTACGGTTCTTCTACTTTGCCGGTTCTCTCTTTCTCTTACCCTCTTCCATTCAGCGACCAATTCAAACCGTACTCTTCTCAGCCTCTTTTACACGTTTTGGTCGTGTTTCTTCATCTTTTTGGCCCAAAACAATGTACTCGGTAGCCCATCTCATACACTCTACTAATAGCCTCATGCCTTCCGACAGTTCCGCCACGCCTCTTCTTCCACGTCCTTCCAAACCGGTACGGATCATCCATCACATTCCCCTTTATTCATTGTGGCTTTGCACACCCCAACGGTTTTACTGTACCTCTAAAAAAAAAAGCGTCAAGTCGCGCAGCCGAGCTGCAATACCACGTAATAAAGGGTGACCCGATCCCACAGCGGCACTTGGGAACGCACCCCATTGGCCGGGCGCGACTCAGAGGAACGTTGCCTTGTCTTCGCGCGGCCACAACTAGGCGGCCATCTCTCTGCAAAGTGTTCAACATGTTTGTTGTGTGTGTGTGTGTGTGTCTGTGCATATGTTGCATCCGTATGCACGCAAAAATCCACGGGCGGCTTTTCTCGCGCAAGGCGGCCGCAGGAAAAAAGGCTGTGTAAGTTCTCGGCTCCGCTCCCGGTCTTCCGCAAACACCAAATGGGCCACGGTCCGTGGCTGCAGCCAGAGAGCGAGGCGTCTGTCATGGCTTTTTTACCCTTGAGAGACAACTTTTGAACGAGCCCACGCCTGCGGCCGGAAACTTTGCGCCATTGTCGCTCTGCCTCCGCCCGAGTTTCTTTTGGCCGTGCCTTTCTCCTAGTTACAGTCCTATCCCGCTCCTTCCATGTAGACGACTCGGGGCCTGGTTGGCTCGTGGTTGGCCAGAACCGGCGGGTTCGTAAGCATTCTTTGTGCACCAGACCGTAACTTGGACCGTCTTCACATTGGCCTCGCTGGAGTGACAAAACATTCCGACATGGCACGGCCGATCCTGTGCAACACTGCCCATCAAGTGCGTGTACTCCGTATCCGTGTACGAATATGTTTGAGGCCGGGGTTGGTAGTCCTACCAGTAGTGGCGGACGGATGACAGTAGTTGCATGGAGCCGCGTCTGTGTGTGTACCAGTACCAGTACCAGTACGCGTGCCTTTTCGTCTGTTGTCCCGTCACAAACTCATGGTTCGATAAAAAAAAGTGAAAGTCTAGGCGGCATATTCCGTTCACCCGCGCCAACAAGGCTTGCCTGTCCAGGGAGGCCAGTTTGGCGTGCGTGTGGCTTGTCGTTGGTCCAGACAGACAAGCCATGGCTTGCCACGAGTGGAGAGCCCGTTTCGAGAGGGGAGTGCTCAATGCAACAATTGTACGCGATACTGGGGTTATTGCCTCAAGTTGATTGATAGCCCGAGCATGGACGAATCTCAATCTCTTATCCGTCCCGCTTTTAGGTCGACTTTTTGGTGGTGGCAAGCATCTCATGCCCTACCCGTGCTACACCGAGGCACGAAGCTCTTTATTAGTTTTAGTTTATCCATGACTGATGCAGAACCCCGGCAAAGAAACAAATGGCTGTCTCAACCGGGTGCAGGGAAGTTTATGAGGCAGATATACCCCGGGGGCCAGGTCGCACTGATAGGCAGTCGTGACAGTTTCTTCATGCGGTCACCGTGGTAGTCCAGGGTTAGTTGGGTGGTACCAACTGGGTATGCGAGCAAAATCGTTCCAGTGCGCTTTTCTCCTTGCTGTGGGATGCAGGGTTTATGGTTGAGAGCTGCAGCAGAGGAGGGTCTGGCTTGCAGGAGCAGCGAACGCCTTTGCTAATGTTGGGTAACTAATTCGTTAGTTAGCACAGCGACGTGACGGGAAAGGAAGCAAAAGGAAAGAAACACGGATAAACTCGCTTGTATCCGTTGACCAGCCGTCGACGTGCAGCCGACTTGAGTCAGTCACAAACCAAGTACTGACATAACTCGACGAGTGACTGTGAAGCATCAATAAACACGTTAGTTAATACTATTACCCCGTCTAGAATCACCAATAAATGGTTACTTTCTTCACAAGACGTAAGAAAATCTACATGGAGTGTAGCAAAAAGCAAAAAAAAAAGTCAGTATAGTGAGGGGGTAAGTATGCACCTAGTTAGCTGTAATAGTCCGTGTGCACGATTGCTGCCCAACAAGGCGTGCGTAGTCACTGGTGAGGAGATGCAAGGTGCCGCTGGCGTGCATCGTCCCGAATCGGCACCGACCATGACCGTGAGAGAGCCTCGGACCGCAGCGGTTTTGAACAAGAGGAGGGACCATACTCGGCAGATTGCAACAGGGTCTGATGATGTGACAGAGCGGTTATTACGAAGCGATGTTGTCTGAGCGCAGAGCGGTTGGGGACGGTTTCAACTTCAACAGGGCATCAAACTCTTTGACAGGGAGCTGCAGCGACGCCGATGTTTCCGACAAACAATCGCGGTTGGTTACACAATCAACACTGCTTTGTTTTGAGTCTAAGATTGGGCTTGTTGGGTCCCATGATATCCATACCAAGTCAGTATGCAGTACGCAGTGTTGGCAGGAAAGCGCAGGTACGCAGGAGTTGTCTTGGCTTATAAAGTTGTAAGTGATGAGTAACTTGGCTTGATTTCCATCGAGTTATAATTTAGTCTTCGTGATTCTTCTGTTGCGCCTCTGGCGTGGCGTTATCCCCCACTTCGGGCAGGCAGGGCTAGTAAATAGCTTCTTCAATTTTTCCCTTTCTCACGTAAAAGATATTGTTAGAGGATGCAGAGATGCCGGCATTCACGTGCAGGGCCTTGGGACTACTTATCGGTACGAATACCCTGTGAGAGCTGGCAGTTGCTGCTTCTCCTCCTTGAATACGTGCTTCTTGCTTCTTGCTTGTATCATTTTTGGCTGGTGTTTCTCACAGCCATGTTTCTTGCGCCATTGCTGTAGACTGGGTTCGGTTTTTTTTTTTTTTTTTTTTTTTGCTTCTCCTTCATCAACACCTGACCCTCGACTGGCGCGAGCTATTGAGCGGATATCGAGATTCGAGCACAGGCTACCCACAGCAACCCAGTCCGTTCAGCTCATCCGGCACCGATAGTTACAATTGCCAAGTGCCTTTCTCGCAAGGACCCATTCACCGGCAGGCGAGGGCCTGATGTCCCCGAACCAACTGGAAAATGAGAATGGCAGAGGGGGCGGGACCAGAAGGGCAGGCTGGGTCTGGACGTTGACTGATTGTAGCAGAGGGTACTAGTACTCTGTCAGCGGGAGACATGGCCCTTTTTGCCTGATGGACTGATTGAATGAATCTGGAATCAGCATTCAGGGCCGGTCGAAGGCGTTCTTGCGCCTGGACCCGCCGACATACTGGTAGACTGGGGACTAGTTATGGGCAGACGAACAGAGGCTTGCCTGCCAGGGTGTATTTAACTTGACTAGTAAAAAGGACCACCATATCAAGAACTGCTGTCGAAGTGCGAGTGGTGTGGTGTTTTGCCCGTGAGCGCCCGCTTATGCAGGAGGTGTTGTGGCAGGCAGGCTGGGGTTGTATCCGCGAATGTATGTATGTATGTATGTATGTATACCGGTATTGAGTTATTGTTTGGCGTGCAGATAGTAAAAGCAGCATTTCCATCGTGTTTCTTCGTTGTTTATTACCAGTAACCCCTGCCGCTTGGCTCGTGCCAACTGCCAAGGGAGCCCCCCCTCCGGTCTTCGAGGCAGTGGGTAGACGACAACCGCGCGTTGCACCAACACGGAGCTCCAGACCGTATCCAGAGCGAGTGGCGGGGGTGTGAGGATGAATGTCTCGGCCTGTACTAACGCAGAGACCAAAGAGGTTGCCAAAGACGGATTGCGAGCCAAATCCAAATAGCAGCCGAGGAAAAAACCATCGACGTCCAAAGTCGATGGTGTCAGAGTCCAACTGCCAACGAGGTACTAATAAGAAGGTGCAAAGGTGCTGTCCAAATGCAGCTAGAGCCCTGTACCGGGACGCCAGGTAGCGCTACCGGTGGACTGGGACCCCGCTATTGGAGCTTCACGCAGCGTTCTTACTGGAGAGCCTCTTTGAGAGAGGAGCCAAGGAGCCCCCGCTGGCGAGTCCCCCCTCCCTGGGCTGTTGATCGCTGGGGCATGTACAAAGCTGCGCAGCCACGACCCGTTGCCGGTGTACCAGTAGGGAGAGGGGAGGGGAGGGTGGTGCCGCTGGTGCGTCTGCCAGATGCGAGGCAGAGGTACTCCGTAGACATGTTGGTAATAGCAGGCTCTGATGATGGGGGAAATGTGTTGGCTCTGGTTGGAGATGTCTGGTCCTCATGTCCTTTTCCCTTACAAAGGACCTGTCTAGCGCCGCCACGGTCCACCCTGGACGCCCGCAAAATTTTGGCGCGCTGGTCTGGAATTTGGTGAAAAGAGAAGAGGCAAGGTCGGCTGGTAAATAATAACTACATTTTGCAAGTATCTCAAAGAGGTCTTTGTACTAGTTATCATCGCACCCCGGCAGGCCAGGCACTTGGTGGCGCGTATCCGCACGCTGTACTTGCCTGTCGGTACCTGTACTTGCCTGGATCGTATTTAGGTAGGTCATGTACCTCGGCAGGCCAGTTTGCTGACGAGGTACTTGCATGGAGCACAGGTATCTGAAGCTCTGCCTCCCCTTCTCCCGCCTCTCCTCTTCTCAGCACGCCCGCCGCCTGCTTATTACCCAGTAATTCGTAACAGCCATCAAATGCACCATTGGATCTCGACTTGGTAACTAGAATTGCATCGTCCGGATATCTAGATCAAGAAGTTCCTTGCCGGCTTGCCCATTAAACCACTAGCTAGGTCGGTACTAAGGTATCTACTTAGGTACTGGTAGGTACCTTGGTACCTCCCTCTCCTCTCCGCCTCCTCACTGGCTCGCCGTACCCAGGTACCTTCCTTCCCTTCCTTGCCTCTTCCCGCACCGCAGCCGACGCACGCACACCCACAATCGCTCTTCAACATCCAACTAAACTACCTCCCCTACCTGCCTGCCTGCCTGCCAACCTTGCTTGCTTGACCCATTCCCGCTTCCCTACCAGTACCTATTTCTCCTACCCCATCTCTTCTTTTGATCTTTTTTTTCGCGCTTCTTTGCTTTATAGCCGCCTGATCTCTCACTCTCTTTTTCTTCTGCTCGCTGCCTCCTCGCCATTCCAATTCCCTCCCTACCTACCCCCTCCTTCCTCTCCTCCCGCCCACGACGTCCTAGCCGCCCCTCTCCAGCACCACCCGCTTGGTCGCTGCTTGAACCCCTCCCACCCCCCCCCCAAGAACGCTTCCACCTCTGTCCGCCTCCTTCGACCTCGACAACCTCCCCGAGCTCCTCAACCACACCTAATCGCCCATCATGGCGGGCCGCATGGTCTTGTATAAGCTTGTCGTCCTCGGCGATGGTGGTGTAGGCAAGACAGCTCTCACCATCCAACTCTGTCTTCAACACTTTGTCGAAACTGTCAGTATTGCATCTTCCCAGCCCTTGCCTGGTGGTCCTCAGCCTCTCCCTGGCCGTCTCTGCCACCAGCAATATCCATCCAACCTGCACCCATTGGCAATGCCAAATTCGCTAACTGCTCGCTCTTCCACCAGTACGATCCTACAATCGAGGATCAATACCGAAAGCAGGTTGTCATCGATAGCCAACCGTGCATGCTCGAAGTCCTCGACACGGCCGGCCAGGAAGAGTATACCGCCCTCCGCGACCAATGGATCCGCGACGGCGAGGGCTTTGTCCTCGTCTACAGCATTGCGTCCCGTTCTTCCTTTTCCCGCATCAAGCGCTTCCATCACCAGATCCAGCGAGTCAAGGAGTCCTGCGCCTCGTCTCCCTCCTATCCCGGCTCCCCTATATCCGCCGCCACCCCGCAGCTCCCGGTCCCCATCATGCTCGTCGGCAACAAGAGCGATCGCGTCACCGAACGTGAAGTGTCCACGCAAGAAGGCCACGCCCTCGCCCGCGAGCTCGGTTGTGAGTTTGTCGAGGCCTCGGCCAAGAACTGCATCAATGTCGAAAAGGCGTTTTACGACGTTGTACGCGTCCTCCGCCGCCAGCGCCAGCAGGCATCTCGCCCCCAAGGCGCCGCCAGCGGCCGCAGTCGCACAGGCAACGGTGACATGGGTGGCCGCGACCGTGACTCTCACAAGTCCCGCCGCAAGGACGGCGAGAAGAGCAAGGGCCGTTGTACCATTTTATGAGCGACTCTTGTCACCAACTCGTTGCTCGCCAACACCGGCTCTACGTGTGTGCACCACCACTACCGCCACCGCTACAGACGGCCGATTCTCCCGCTCGCTGCAATTCCGGCCGCTGCACCATTACATCACCCCGATTGTTCCAATCAATTGCCATTACTACTCCTCTGGTGGTCCGGTAGACAACAATGGCCACGACACCATCAGCCCTCCACCACTCCCTCCTACTCACAACACATGAGACTCGGCAGCGACACTTGTCACTGCCGCCTCTCGAATCGGCGAACGGCGTACGAACACTAAAAGAAAAGAAAAGAGAGGCATACTATTTTCTATTTATATTGGGGCGCTGGGTTTTAACGACATTTACGTATTACGTCTCTTCGCCAAGGTTGGAAATGCTCTGCTTCTGCTACTCAGTAGCCATTGGTGTGGAAGCCATCAGAAGGCCTCTTGCCTCTTTTCTTTTTTCTGTCCTTTTTTTCGCGTCTTGATTTTCCTTGGCACGGCTCTCCTCCATCTACTCATTTTTACTCGTTATTCCTCATACAGACCGACACATGACGGGCCGTGGTTCTTTGGGATTGCATAATATGAAGCAATTGGGCGGCTTTTGCGTTTGTTGGTTCTTTCTTCTCTTTCCACGTCTATACTTGCACAGAATGGTAAAAAACAAAGCTGCAGAGCGACGGACTATATATACTTGGTTCATGCCAACTCAAAGACAATTGACACATCTTACACGAGTTTCGACATGGAAGCCTGTATATGTATGTGTGATGACGGATGTCGAAATACACACTACAAAAGACGAGCACACACCACCACCCTCGATGGATTCTTGAATCGCAATGGACACATAGACAGAAGCCAAAGGTCTCGAGAATCTAGAAGAAAACTATTCAAAAAGTGCTCCAAAACAGCAGCCACTTGGAAACAGAGTTGAGTAGTGTGTGTGGACATGTCATTCATTGTACATTGTACCCGTCGCTACCTACCTATGTACCTACCCATCCAACCATCCAATGAGCCCATCTGTCTGCCTACGGGGTCAGAGACGAACCCATGCAAGCCACCGAAGCACACAACGCTTGGGTTTTTATTTTAGTTATTTTCTGATTTATCTTGTCACTTTTTATTTTAACATCTCTCGTTTTTGTCTTTTCTGCACACATCCACTCCCCCTTGCCTTTTTTTTTTTGGCTTTTATCTATATCCAGGGTTAGTTGGGTTAGCATGTAATAACCCTCCTGTCACCGTCGGAAAAAAAATTAGATAACGGCAAGGGAAACCCCATATCAAGAGCGGGCAGAATCGTCCGACTCAACAACCATCAACACACACACACACACACTCATGTAGACCAGCACAACCAGGTTTTAAAGACGCCGTAACATATACACAAAAAGATCATGTTATTTATTTTCAAAGCAAAAAAAGATAAGAATATGTTCGTCTCTATCTATTTGGGGGAGAAGAAAGAAATAAACAAGACATGGGATAATAAACTGCTGCCGGTTCCAAAAAAAAAGACCGCTAAATGCCCACCACAAAGAGAAAAGAGCTTCCAGTGTGAAAAATAAAAAAATGTTGCAATGTTGACAAGATAACAGATATTTCCCAGTCCGTGTCAGTAAAAGATGTGAAAAGGAAAGGAAAAAAAAAGATGGACCGCCCAACAGCATCAAACGCTGTCTTGTCTGGTCAAAAGAGCGCCATGTCCGATATTCTCCAGCAAAAAACAAGGATAAAAATAGAAAAGAGTAGCCGTGAGAGAGTGAGTGGAAATGACACCATGTGTCACATGTCCCGAAAGACAAGCATGTTGCTTTTTTTTTTTTCCCCTTCTCTTCTTCGGTTGAATTGCAGAGTCGTTATTCCTTCGTAGCATGTTCGTCACCAAAGGGCCCATCTGTCTTGCTCGTCCTTTTAGACTCGACATCGCCCTTTTCTTCAGTAATCGCCGCCAGATTCACCGCCCTGCCTGTGTTGCTGGGAGGGTCGGCAAAAGGACTCGTGCCGCGCGGCGCCGGCTCCTGGGCAATGTGGATGGTGCCAATGTCCTCGGAGCTCACCTTGCTGCTGCCTAGCGAATCATTGGACGAAACGGCCGACAGAGAGCTGACCTCTTGCTTCGCGCCGAGATCAATCTTCTTGAGTCCCCCGACCTTAACCACCTGAGCGCGACCTTGAGTGGCCGTGTAGGTTGCGCCGACGCTAAAGGTACTGGCCGTGCTCTCGGGGCGAGTGGGCAGTGCGAATCGCTGCATGTCAATGACGGGAACCGGCGGCGTGTTGATGCCAGGCTTGACACTGACAACGGTGGGCTTGGCGCGCATACCAGCGTGCGAGGCCGTCTGGACCTCGGCCTGTCTGCCGTAGATGGTCGAGGCAATGCTGGAGCGGGGAGCGTACGAGGTTCTATCCGTTGTAGCCGAGAAGCCAGAGTAGGTGGAGTCGCGCAGATTTCCAGGCACGAAGAAGTGCTCGGAGCCGTTGGGTGATTCGGCGTGGTTGACGGGAATGGGAGGAACGGGGGGGACCAGTACATCTGGCGAGGTTGGTGTGGCGCGGTTGGTGACCCCGGGAATGTAGGCAATCTGGATAATGTTGGAGGCGCGGGTCAAGACAGTCGAGGCGATCGAGTGGACCGTGTGTGTCGAGGCACGGCGACCGAGGCCGGCTTGACCGTTCTTCTCGACACCCTGCGCGGGTGTGCTGTCGGCTTCGTAGATGGAGGTTGCGCGGTGATCCAGACGGCTGGCTCGCTTGGGCTTGATGAGGAATCGCCAAACGAGGTAGGTGACTACGGCAATGACAATAATGGCACCGACAACGCCGCCGGCGATAGGACCGGCACTGGGGCCGTCATGGGCTTTGGTCGCGCCGGTGCTGCCGCCGCCGTTGCCAGCATCGCTAGAACCATCACTTCGACAAAAGGCTTTTGGGCATTCGGTGCAGCTTTGCGTAGTAAAGCCGCATGATTGTCCGCTAGGGCATGAAGGGCATATGAGTTTCTCGCCCGAGTTGCAGCCGACGCAGTTATCTTGGCGGACGAGAAGTTTGGCGGCTGTTGGCCGAGTTAGCATTTGTCTTGCATGCACCCAAATACATCCCACCAGGCAGCCAGGTATAGAACTTACAGTAGTTGAGAGAGGACAAGTCCCGGGCCGGGTTCTGTTCACCTGCCATGTCTGCTGTATGTATCTCGATGTACGCTGCTCGTGTGTCGTGTGAAGACAATGCGTCGTGTGATGAACGGCGAGCAAGTGTCGCGATTACAGTTGATTCGGCGGCGCTTTATGAATAATTGAGTCGCAGGATAGTAATGGATATGGCTGGCGTTCAGAGCGAGTGTAATTTTCGGCAAGAATCAGAGGCGAAGCTTCAGAAAATCGAGCATGAAGGAAAAGGACGTAGAGTCGGCCAGCGATCGAAAGGCGTGAGACAGTAGGGGTGGTTGATAGAACGAGCGTGCGCAGAGACTAGCTCTGGGGGAATGCGGGTGGAAGAAGGAGAGAAGGAGCGGCTCGGCGATTAGGCGACAGACATAATTGTCTTTATCGTAAGTCGACCAAGTGCTTCGCCCGTCAACGGCTGTTCAAGTCGATTTGGGCAGTTGTGATGTGTCGAGTGGGATACTGAGCAGATGGAGGAGGAGAAGAGGAGCGAGTTGGGGCGTTATCAGTACTAACCTGCTGGCTTGCTTGGCTTGCCAGCACGGGTAGAGCGGCGGCGGGCAGGAGCGCCAGGCACTTTTTAGCGTACAGCAGACTCAGGTGCTGCCACAGCGCTGAAAAAGACGCTTCTTCAGCGCGGGGGGCGCCAGGGGCCAGTGCGCTAGAGCCCAGAGTGGACTAGACTGGCCAAGCCCAATCTATGCGCGCCCCATCGCACTGTGCACTGTTGGCTGCGTCAGCTAAAGATACTACCGGCTGCATCCATCACTAGCAGATCTGTGTGGAGTGGTAGCACAAAATAAGGTTATGAGGTCTGCCCTCCCAGGTCGCGATCCAGAACCACAGTGTTGTCCCGCCCGGGTGCACACTGTGCGACGAGCCCACCACACCTGCGAGTGTGAAAGCCTAAAGCCTACTAACTAACAAATTCACAGCGCCTTCCGCAACGGGTGGCCCGCTGTAGCGCACCAAGTCCCTCCGCGGGCCAGGCACAGCCGTCAGGTACTTCTAATTTCGACCATCAACGAGTTAAAATGCTGGATGCTCTTGGTTGCGCTGACCAGTGCGCTGGCAGCACAAGACAAAGAGCGAACCAAATGTCTCCATGTCTGCATGTCTGCAACTGTCAACAGACAACAGAACAGGGACGTTTCTTGCAAGCTGGCCGTGGCGTGAGCGTGATATTGATAATGATATTCCTGCCGTGAATGAGCCACGCCAATGTTGCACAACGCGCGAAATTCTGCATTCCACAGACCTCCCTCCACTCAAGAGTTGCACAGCGTCAACGTACGAGGCAGGATGGCATTGTCCGATATGTGCACAATGCAACCGTTTGGCCGCTGTCAGATTGACTTTCTTTTCTTTTCCTCCCGTTCTGTGCAGCGTAATCCTTGTCGTTCTCACGCACGGACAACTGCCAACAATGAATCCATCTACTCGAGGCAACTCTGTAGTCAGCCGTGGCTCCCGCCTTGAGCGTGCACATATATCCGTAGACATATGGGTTTGTCACTCCATGGCTTATCGCTAGGTTGTAGGTACAGCGACGTTGTCGTGTGAAGCCAAACGTTGTCGTGTGAAGCCAAACGTATACCAGCCATGAACAGAACACAAGACCTTGGATGAGGCAGAGTGTTGCTAACCAGGTCGGTTTTTATTTTGAGGAAACTGTCTATAGATATAGCTGATGAGTAGGCAACGGCAACGGCAACTATGCGGATTGCCCAAAAAAGTCAGTTGCTCCTCGGCGACTTCTGAAACGCACTATGGGTGCCGCATATAATTGTAACATGTGTGGGTCACAGCGTGGCAGGAGGGATTTCTGCACTCAGCGCATGATTGGCTAGTATTGGACTGGTGAGAAAGAGATGAGATAAGTAGTTACCACTGCGTCGTTATTCGCGCGCCGCGGAGATGGTGACATTGCTACATGTGTTGTCGTGCAAATAGGCTCGTGTTGCGCCGGTGAGTCGGCAATACCCTGCACGGCGGAGAACAACCATTTATTAATGAGCGTACAATAACTAGCTAAATTTAATGGATCAGAGTATGTAACGTTGGAGACGCCCCTCGTGTGCTCGCTGAAGCTCTTCAAGTCTACATATCTATCTAGGGGGGGTATATTCGAAGGTTAGTGAGCCCTAACTCATGAAGCCCAGACTTTCCAGAACGCCATCACGGATATACGGGATATCTTGAACGGGTTCATCGGCCTAAGCTGCCGCGCCACCGCGGAACGATATTCGTAGTCGGCATGCTACGCGACGCCAAGCGCCAACGTTGGGGACTAGATGACGCGTTGGCCACCGAACCAGGAGGTAATTAGGAACGCCATATGTACTCTCTGTAATCTGTAATCTCCATACACCGGCTGCATTATTTACGGGACGGGATGAAAGTGATAGTTGCAAGCTATTCTGCATGAACCTTGTAATCACGTATCTGGGCTCCGGTGGCTGCTGTGCGCTGTCTGCGGGCGAGAACAAGACGGGTACGAGCGCCTAACATGCTCTCATCAGCACATACTTCGTACAAAGTACAGAGTGTCGATTCGGGTGACGGTCAAAAATTCAATTTGGACAGTGATTCGTCAAGGTTGTGGAATGCGTGGTGGTTGACCTGAGCACCGCCTCAGTCGAGGAGGCACAGAAGCAAGCTAATCCAGCTAATCCCGGCCGCTGCTCCAGGTTGCTATTTTTGGCTGCAGCCAAGCATCCCGGCAGACCCACTTCCAGAGTGCGTAGCCCTGCTTTTGTGTTGCTTCGTTGCTTCTCCTTTTGCTTGCTGCGACAGGCCATGTTGCGACGAAAGTACTTGACTGGTGCATTCTCTGGAGACCGTGACATGTCCTCGTATCAAAGGGCTTCCAGCAAGGTCCGTTGCGGTGGCGTCAGTGATCGTCCAGTACGGAGCACTTTGAGTACAATTCTCCGATTTTTGCCCCTTAACAAAACGAAAGGCAAAACAGATGGGAATATTACAGATGGAAATAGTACAGATGGTGAAATTTCAGGCTCGCTCTTATAATATGCTAGCGGGTACCTACCACTACCTATGCGTTCTACCTACAGTCTCATGGCGCCTCTGACTCTGCCATGGTGGGTTGGTTGGGCATTCTTACAGGATGAACCCCTGTTTGCGACGACGGCTGGTTCAGCCTCGTCTGACAGCCATCAGTTCGAGAAACGACAGACAAAAATAGACAGGAGTAGGAAAACAATGTTGGGAAAAAGGACAAATTTGCAGAATGAGTGAGCCTTGTGTGGCCGCCGGGTGCTGACCTCGCTGTATCTTAATTTGCAAGTTATATTTATCTGGATCTGAAATTCTGGAGTGGCTCTGAAGTGGGCTGGGGACATGGCATCGAAACTGCAAAAGCTGGGGTATAAAGGGTATAACCTGACGATGAACAGTTCTTATCAAAAGGACGGATAGATAGAATGAGGTCTTTTCTATTATTATTCAAACTAACTAGTTTTTTATCCGTGGGCGACTGGTCGTCCTCTCGACCCCAAGCAAACTTCCCCTTGTTCGGTTAGGCCCCTTTGTCGAGTCGAAGTGAAGCAAGCTTCTTTCAGTGGGGACCTGACCGGCTCCACACTGGCCACTGGCATGGTGGCTCAGCAGCGCATCCGCCTGTCAACCCATCCAGCAGATTGCCAGGAGAGCAGATACCTGAAAAAACATATGGGCTCGCGTTTGGAATACACCAACTCTTACCAAGGATCATGTAGCTTGGTAGCTTGTCGACAGAGAATAGTCAATTTCCCAAGCTTCTTCTTGAGAACAGAACGGCAGACAGCCTACGACTCAAAGCACACGGCGGCAGGTTATTTTTATCACCAAGCTCCCCTCGCAGCCTCCTGCAGCCTCGTACCGTCGCCGAAGCTGCACCAAGCTGCTACCCGTTCAAGCCGTCCGCCGCGCTAAGAAATAAATCACACCGTAATAGCCACTAGCCTGGACGAAAGGTACTTGCCTCTCTGCCGAAAGATACACACAAACCCCTGTACCCGTCGTCGTTTGCCCCGAAACATCGACCCTGGCCAAGAGGCCCTCTTTGTGCATGCTGTCTTCCTTTTCCTCTTCTTTGCTCCCATCAGGTTTCTACCTACTTCAGCCATCTCCTCCTTGGCCCCTACTTTGCCTGCATTTCTCCTCCTGTCCGTTTTCCCTTGTTTCTCCATACCAAACCTCATTTTTACCAGCCACCGGCTTTGCGTCGCAACAGTATTTGCTATTGTCGTCTCTGCGCTGGCCTGGCGTCATACACCTCCCGCTGCACCACCGCATTGATCAGCTGCGAGCTACCAACCACGGTACTGCGCCTCCAGCCCAGCGTAACCAAAAAAAAATCGAGACATTCCACCATCCTTTCTCCTTTTCTGTACATCGACACATCACCGCTTGTTTGCCGTCTCGCTCATAACGCCCGCCAGTTGTCACGCTGTCCACGCCACTTATTTAGCATAGCGCATCTGCTTGCTCCTCGGAGCCCCTAACCACCACCATGGCATACAACGGCCAAGGCCACGACTACGCCGGTGGTTCTGGCCACCAGCTTCACGACCTGCCCCCAGGAGGCAACGTATGTCATCCGACGCACTCTTCTATAGCCGCCGAGACCTTGACTGACATGCCCCTAGTATCATATGCCCCCCCACGAGCACGAAGAAGAGGCTGGCCGCTACCTCCTCAACGAACAGCCCGGCTCCGGCTATGAGCACGACCGCCTCGGCGCCCCCCAGGCGCCCGATCGTCCTGTTTCCACATACAGCTTGACCGAGTCCTACGCTCCCAACGCTGGCCAGACCGCGCCTCAACCGCACCAGCCTGGCAGCTTTGACACAAGCTACGGTCAGCAGGGCGGCCTGCAAAGCCCATATGTCCAAGACCACGACTTCCCCTACGGCCGCCCCGCCTCCACCGTGGAGGATGAGGAGGAGAGCTGGATGCAGCGCCAGCAGCAGCCCGGCGGCTTCAACCGTGGCAACGGCGGCGGCCTCAAGCGCTTCAACACCAGAAAAGTCAAGCTCGTCCAGGGCTCCGTCCTGTCCATCGACTACCCTGTTCCCAGTGCCATCAAAAACGCCGTTGAGCCTCGCTTCCGCGACGTCGAGGGCGGCAACGAGGAATTCATGAAGATGCGCTACACGGCCGCCACCTGCGACCCCAACGATTTTACACTCAAGAACGGCTACGATTTGCGTCCTCGCATGTACAACCGCCACACGGAGCTGCTCATCGCCATCACATACTACAACGAAGACAAGGTTCTGCTCTCCAGAACCCTCCACGGAGTCATGCAAAACATTCGCGACATTGTCAACTTGAAGAAGTCGACTTTCTGGAACAAGGGCGGCCCTGCCTGGCAGAAGATTGTCGTCTGTCTGGTTTTTGACGGTATTGAAAAGGTCGACAAGAACACCCTTGATGTTCTGGCCACGGTTGGCATCTACCAGGATGGTGTCGTCAAAAAGGACGTTGACGGCAAGGAGACTGTTGCTCACATTTTCGAGTATACTTCCCAGCTCTCCGTCACCCCCAACCAGCAGCTTATTCGCCCGACTGGCGACAGCCCCCAGAACTTGCCCCCTGTTCAGTTCATCTTCTGCCTGAAGCAAAAGAACAGCAAAAAGATCAACTCTCACCGTTGGCTCTTCAACGCCTTTGGCCGCATCCTCAACCCTGAAGTTTGCATTCTACTCGATGCTGGTACCAAGCCCAGCCCCCGCTCCCTGCTCGCCCTCTGGGAAGGCTTCTACAACGACAAGGATCTCGGTGGTGCCTGTGGTGAGATTCACGCCATGTTGGGCAAGGGCGGCAAGAAGCTGTTCAATCCCCTCGTTGCCGTTCAAAATTTCGAGTACAAGATTTCCAATATTCTCGACAAGCCGTTGGAGAGCTCTTTCGGCTACGTCAGCGTTCTTCCCGGTGCCTTTTCGGCCTACCGCTTCCGCGCCATCATGGGCCGCCCTCTGGAGCAGTACTTCCATGGTGATCACACCTTGTCTAAGAGTCTAGGCAAGAAAGGCATCGACGGCATGAACATTTTCAAGAAGAACATGTTCTTGGCCGAAGACAGAATTCTCTGCTTCGAGCTGGTCGCCAAGGCTGGCCAAAAGTGGCATTTGTCCTACATCAAGGCTGCCAAGGGTGAAACGGACGTTCCCGAAGGCGCTGCCGAGTTCATCTCCCAGCGTCGTCGTTGGCTCAATGGCTCCTTTGCCGCCACCCTCTACTCCCTCATGCACTTTGGTCGCATGTACAAGAGTGGCCACAACATTATCCGCATGTTTTTCCTCCACATTCAGCTCCTGTACAACATCCTCAACCTCATCTTTACCTGGTTCTCTCTGGCTTCTTACTACCTCACCACTACTGTCATCATGGATCTCGTCGGTACACCTGTTGTTGGTGGTCAAGGTGGCGCCGAGCATCACGGCTGGCCTTTTGGCGACACGGCGACGCCTCTGGTCAATGCGCTCCTCAAGTACCTCTACTTGGCATTTGTTATCCTGCAGTTTATCCTGGCTCTTGGCAATCGTCCCAAGGGTTCCAAGTTTACCTATATTGCTTCCTTCATGCTGTTTAGTCTGATTCAGACGTATATTTTGGTGCTCTCCGGCTACCTGGTGGCGCGCGCTTTCAACACGCCTATTTCGGAACAAATCAAGCTTGACTCTGGCGCAGACTTTGTCAATAGTTTCTTCTCAGGAGAAGGAGCAGCAGGTGTCATTCTTATAGCGCTCATTACGATTTACGGCCTTTATTTCCTCGCCTCCTTCATGTACCTGGACCCATGGCACATGTTCCATTCGTTCCCCTACTATCTGGTCATTATGTCTACCTACATCAACATTCTCATGGTCTATGCCTTCAACAACTGGCACGACGTCTCGTGGGGTACCAAGGGCTCCGACAAGGCTGAGGCTCTGCCCTCGGCCAACGTGACAAAGGGCGAGAAGAACGAGGTGGTTGTCGAGGAAATCGAAAAGGAGCAGGAAGATATTGATAGCCAGTTTGAGCAGACGGTGCGCCGTGCTTTGGCTCCATTCAAGGAGGCAGAGGAGCTTGAGGCGAAGGACGTGGAAGACTCGTACAAGTCGTTCCGTACCGGCCTGGTCGTGTGTTGGTTGTTCTCCAACATTGTTCTTGTGATTATTATTACCAGCGACAACTTCAACAGCTTTGGCATCGGAGTAAGTGACTGGGCTCTCTCCTTGCATCATCTCACTGCTAACTTGTCTAGAAATCGTCATCCGTTCGCACCGCCAGCTTTTTCAAGTTCCTTCTGTATGCCACTGCAGTTCTTTCCGTCGTTCGATTCATGGGCTTCCTGTGGTTCCTCGGCAGAACCAGTGTCATGTGCTGCTTTTCGAGAAGATAGTTGTCTAGTTTGTACCATTGCTTCATTTAGTTCCGACGTTGTTGACATTATGCCTGGAGGGAGAAAAATGGGTTGGCCCGGTTGGAAAGAATGGCCGGGAGGCAGTATGCGTGGCGAGGGCTCAAGGGGCCTGTCGTCGCTTGCCAAAGTGGGTTGTTTTGCAAATACCTTGTGCTTATAATGGTTCGTGATATGCCTTAGATTGTTCTATATAATATCCTACATCGGTCAAAACTGTCTTGTTCATGCTCGTTGACTTGTCTATTCTTTTCTTCTTTAACCTTTGTAGCATTTCCGAGGGCTGGTTGGGTGAATTCAATAGCCAGCCAATCTTATCAAAACGCCGCTATTGCCTATTCGGGCGGGCGGTGTCGTATGCTGCCGCGGGCCATTGTGGCCATGACGAGTGGCGGGGGAGGAACTGGCCGGCTCCTATGCCACCGGATCCCCAAGAAATCGAACCTTTGCACATCACAATCTCTCTGACAGCTTGTCCAACGTTTGTGTCTTTTGCACGGAGCGTCATTCAAAGCGGGCGACAGGGCGACGTTTCCCTTGCCTTGGTCCTTTTTTCCCGACGAGTTGCACACCGCAAACGAAAAGCACAAGCCCGGAACAAATTTCTCGACGAAGCAGCTGCGCGCGAGCCGTCGGTACCCGTGTAGTGTCCTCACGAGCGATCTATAAGAAATAAATAAAGCAAAGTGCTTCCTGTCGCTTGGCCTCGGCGGCCTGATTTACAGACAAGATGTTGAAAATTTGGTCTATGGTATGTGGTGCAGGCACGGGTGGCTGCCTCGTCCTTCGAGCCTGGTACTACGCATTTGGGAGACGTGTCGCTAACCGAGTATTCCGTTTACGGTGATGTAGAAAAAGGAGCAAAAAGATGCAGAGAATGCGGACGGCCAGGCCGGAAAGAAGAAGAAGGTGACGGCGGCGCAGCTGCGCGTGCAGAAGGGTGTGTTTCAAGCCTCGCCGCCCACCAACAAGGCCGACGCAAAAGGTGTTGTAGATAGGATGTAAGCTAACCGACTGCTGGTAGATCTCTCGGAGCTCTCCCTCGGCAAGACGATGAGGACCGAGTTTCCCGACCCCGACGACATCCTCCACTTCATCCTGACCATCGACCCGGACGAGGGCATGTACTGCACTGGGCGGTTCACGTTCGACTTTGCCATCAACCAGAGCTTCCCGCACGAGCCGCCAAAGGTGCTGTGCCGGGAAAAGATCTACCATCCCAACATCGATCTCGAGGGCAAAGTGTGTCTGAACATTCTGCGCGAGGATTGGAAACCGGTGCTGAACCTGAATGCTATCATCGTTGGTCTACAGGTATGCCTTGGGCCGTGGCAACGAATACGCCTGACATGGGATTAACGAACAAATAGTTTTTATTCCTCGAGCCCAACGCTTCGGATCCGCTGAACAAGGAAGCCGCCGAGGACCTGCGCAGTAACCGAGAGTTGTTCAAACGCAATGTGCGCGGGTCCATCAATGGTAATACAATCAAGGGCATTACATACGATTGCGTGGTTAGATAGACTTGGTAGGAGGATGCCAGACGCTCCGCGGGCGACACGCAGGCGGAGCGATACGAATAATGAATAGCGAAGCGGCAGAACTGTCAGGAGGCCCGCTATCAGAGGGCAGAGAAAGAAGGGGTTGCACATATGCATGGAGCACGCAGCACAAGTTTTCAAATAAATAGAAGGTATTATTTATTTCTCCTCACACAGGCAGCGAAAGATGGGACACGGGGATAGATGGGAGCATATGGACGATGCAAGGAGGATTGCGATTTGGGTTTTCTTCAATTAGACGCGAGCATTCCTCACGGCCATTGAAAGCATTGAACAAGTCCAATCTGGCCAGTGCTGTATATTTGGTCGTTTCGTGCAGATGGAGCTAGTGTCGTAGCTTGGCCACGGCCGTTGACCAACCGTCCTGCTGAAGAGTTTGATGTTGAAGCTCAAGCCGTTGGCAAAAACTGTCGCGCCAGTGACGTTGTTCCCAGAACCTTGGAAAGAGGAGTGGGATCAAGCACGTATAGTTCAAGGAGTATTCGGTCGATTCGAAGCAGACACATTTCGCGGTCGGGCTCACGTCATGTGGTCGTTGCCGCAGGTTGGAGTTTGCGAGGCTCTCGTCCGAGATGAGCACCTTGCATCTTTTTTGCTCTACGCCGATCCTGTGGCCTAACGCACTAGCGACTGCGAGCAGATCAAATCTCTCGCCAGTCTCTGATCGCGTGCCTCTGCACCCAGGGTTACCACGCAGCCCCCATGGCGAGGCATTGGTACGTGCCACTACATTCTACAGTTTCCTCTCTCGAGGTTCTCTCATTAGTTATTAGCGAAATAAAATAGCTCGACGACAAGCGACAACGGGGCCCATGTTCTCGTTGTTTGTCCCCCCGGTACCGCTCCGAGGACCCAGAGTCAGAGTCGCAGGTTCCGCTATCGCAGAGGCCCTTGTCGCCCCGTTTATTTCTTTTTTCGTAGTGTGGTTGGCGTTGCCCAGTGGAAAGCTGGGAAATGCTAAGCAGATGAAAGAAAGGGGCAGAAAAATTCCTCAAAGGGTAAAACCTGCTGGATGAGAAGGAATTTCGTGGTGAATCTCGAGATGATTGGGAATTGGGCAATTGAGTGCTTCTCGTGTCGAAGTCGTTGTGAGCAGATTCCCCCGCTGAATCTGCAGATTTCACATGCGGGCAAGGCCCAATCCACTTTTGACTTTTGAGTGGCTGCAGGCTGTCGTGCTCGCTGTAGCAGCTAATTTGTACAGCTTCAGCGCTTCGAGGCTCCAGGTGGACCAGCTGTAGCAGCAACCGCACAGGTGCAACCAGACTGCTGGACCCCTGTAAATTATTCGCTACTCGTGCACATTCACATTCACCCTCGGGCTGCACCTCTGCTGCCCCCGATCTCGGTCTCCTCGCTGCCCCAGCAATAGCTCCCACTAAGCCCAGCCCACAGCCAAACCAAATACGCCCCCCCCCAATTCCGGCCTACCACCGATCCCAGTTGATTTTACCTTGGTACTCAAAACTCAATCCGTCCGCTTCCCGCCCTTCTTCCTTTTTTTTTCTCCCTCCATCACCCAATCCCAATCCAAGCCTCATCTTCATTGAGCTTGCCTCTTCTTCCCCCCCTTCCCCCAATTTCCCCTCACGCACAAAACACACACACTTCGCAATGGCCTCGAGAGCTTTCTCCAAGACCCTGCGCGGTCCCCTCGCCCGCCAATTCGCCGCCGTGCCCGTCCAGCAGCGCGCCGCCTACTCTGTCGCCCGCAGCGCTCTCCGCGCCGCCGTCGCTGCTCCCCGCGCCATCGCTGGCGTCCAGCAGCAGCAGATTCGTGGCCTGAAGACGATTGACTTTGCCGGTCACCCCGAGGACGTCTATGGTGCGTAGCTTCTGAACTCTAGCCGATGAGCCGGCAAACGGCGCAACGGCGAGCTATAGACATGAGCCAAAAAAAAAAAAAGACTAACCCTGAAAATGACAGAGCGCGCCGATTGGCCTCAGGAGAAGCTCCTGGTACGTTTGCTCAACACCTTGATTGGATCTTGACCGCCTCCTAACACGCCTCTAGGAGTACTTCAAGAACGACACCCTCGCCCTCATCGGCTACGGCTCCCAGGGCCACGGTCAGGGTCTCAACCTCCGCGACAACGGCCTCAACGTCATCGTCGGTGTCCGCAAGAACGGTCAGTCCTGGAAGGACGCCGTTCAGGACGGCTGGGTCCCCGGCAAGAACCTCTTCGAGGTCGACGAGGCCATTGGCAAGGGTACCATCGTCATGAACCTCCTGTCCGATGCCGCCCAGTCCGAGACGTGGCCCGCCATCAAGCCCCAGCTCACCAAGGGCAAGGTATGCTCCCACGCTCTCTCGCCATTGAGTTTGACTAACACAGACAGACCCTCTACTTCTCCCACGGCTTCTCTCCCGTTTTCCAGGACAAGACCAAGGTCGATGTCCCCAAGGACATTGACGTCATCCTCTGCGCCCCCAAGGGCTCTGGTCGCACCGTCCGCTCGCTCTTCCGCGAGGGCCGCGGCATCAACTCGTCCTTTGCCGTCTTCCAGGACGTCACTGGCAAGGCGGAGGAGAAGGCTATTGCCCTCGGCGTTGCCATTGGCTCCGGATACCTGTACAAGACGACGTTTGAGAAGGAGGTCTACTCTGACCTCTACGGTGAGCGCGGCTGCCTCATGGGCGGCATCCACGGCATGTTCCTCGCCCAGTACGAGGTTCTGCGCGAGCGCGGCCACAGCCCGTCCGAGGCCTTCAACGAGACCGTCGAGGAGGCTACCCAGTCCCTGTACCCCCTGATTGGTGCCAACGGCATGGACTGGATGTTCGAGGCCTGCTCCACCACGGCCCGCCGTGGTGCCATTGACTGGACCCCCAAGTTCAAGGACGCCCTCAAGCCCGTCTTCAACAACCTGTACGACTCTGTCCGCGACGGCACCGAGACCCAGCGCTCCCTCGACTACAACAGCCAGCCCGACTACCGCGAGAAGTACGAGGCCGAGATGGCCGAGATCCGCAACCTCGAGATCTGGAGAGCCGGCAAGGCTGTCCGGTAAGTTGCACACGTGCCATTGCATCGCGTATCAGAAGCTAACAATTCGGCAGCGCCCTCCGCCCCGAGAACTCAAAATAAGCGAACCCCGATGGCGTGTGAAGAGCAGAGATTTGTTTCCATGTATGCGACATAAAAAAAGAACGGTGGGCTCTGTACTGAGCATGGCCGAGGAGTTTTGATACCTGAGTAGCTGTACTATCAATGGACGGCTTTGATTGCGCCTCTTGCTGCGAGTGAAAATTTTGTGAAGTTGATGTGTCTCGATCAACTCGTTGATTAGCACTTTATGATGCTTTGTATAAGGACCATGTAAAATGAACTGTCGGTGATGAGTTAGTGGGTTTGTATCATATTGAATAAGACGATATTATCAAGCCTTGGGCGCGCCCTTTGCATTCGTCTCTGTGGGGTCACCACTTGCTCGCATCCGGGCCCATGGTGGGGTAGAAGCGTCCCAGATACTATACCATGAACAATCTATTTACTCGATGCTCATGAACTTTGTTCCTTCATCTTAATCCGTCACAAACCACCCCCCCGACCCAAACCATGGCCGACCTGTCCACCACGGCACCGCTCACGCGCGCATCCGTGCAGGCCGCGCAGGCCGTCATCGCGGCGCACGTGCACCGGACGCCCGTCGTGGCCTCGCAGACGCTGACGGCGCTCGCCTCGACGCCGCGGCCGGACCTGGCCGGCACGCGCTTCGCCTCGGCCGGCCGCGCGCCCGCCCGCCCCACGATCCGCCTCTGGTTCAAGTGCGAGAACCTGCAGCGCGTCGGCGCCTTCAAGGCCCGCGGCGCCTTCCACGCCGTCGCCAGGCTGCTCCGCGACGACGCCTGGGTGGCCGCCGGCGGGAGGGAGCGCGGCGTGGCTACGCACTCGTCCGGTAAGCGTTTTTTTCTTAGGAGGCCTCGCTTCGCTCGAACGTGGCGGAGAAAGAGAGAGATTTTACAGAACGCCCAGTGTGGCTCTTGAACCGGAAATACTGACAGGCTACGCAGGAAACCACGCGCAGGCCCTCGCCCTCGCTGCCAGAGAGCACGGCATCCCCGCGCACATCGTCATGCCCTCCGTGTCGGTGCCGGCCAAGGTCGCCGCCACGCGGGGCTACGGCGCGCACGTCGTGTTCAGCGGGAGCACAGCCGCGGAGCGCGAAGCCGTCGCGGCCTCGGTCGTCGCGGCCACCGGCGCGCGCCTCGTGCCGCCCTACGACCACCCGGACATTATCCTCGGACAGGGCACCATGGGGCTCGAACTACAGGAGCAAGCCGCCGCGCTGATGGCGTCGCCCGCGCGGCCGTACGCCAGCAGCGGCACGGCGCTCGACGCCATCATGACGCCGTGCGGCGGCGGCGGGATGCTCTCCGGCGTGGCGCTGTCGTGCGAGGGCACGGGGATCCGGGTATTTGGCGCGGAGCCGTCGTTTGAGGGCGCCGACGACGCCGGGCGCGGGTTCGCGGCCGGGGAGCGCGTGGCGGCCGTGGCGTCGCGCACCGTGGCCGACGGGCTGCGCACGCCGCTCGGCGCGCTCCCGTGGGACGTCATGTACACGCGCGGGCTCGTGGCGGGGCTGTACAGCGTGAGCGAGGAGGAGATTGTGGCGGCGATGCGGCTCGTGCTGGAGCGCATGAAGATGGTCGTGGAGCCGAGCGCGTGCGTGCCGCTCGCGGTCGCGCTGTATGACGAGGACTTTCGCGCCATGGTCGAGAGAGAGGCTGGCGAGGCCGGGTGGGACCTCGGCATCGTGCTGAGCGGCGGGAATGTCGGCGTGGAGGCGCTGGGCGAGCTGTTTGGCAAGGGGGAGTGACGGGGGGTGAGGCCGGGATGGAAAATGCTGGCCTTGTATCTTGCTCACTCCGGATACAAGGGTTCTGGAAGGTTCGGTTCGATACTCACGCCAGATTATGTTACAGTCTGCCATCCTATGCTAGACTGCACAATGAAGACACGTTGCCGATCAGTTACCCCTCGCCCAAGCGCATGCACTAGATTCGTTTCTGCATTGTCCACGCAAATAAGTCAAATCTGAGGTTTGCCCTGTTCACACATTCACGATGACGTGTTGCATGTCCACGAGCAGCATTGGTACAGCAGTCGCGGTCTTGCCTCTGCATGGGCTGGCCTTGCACCACGCACTGGAAAGCCTTGTTGACGACCGGCGGAAGCGATTTTTGAATCTTGATACTTGGCTCATGACGGCAACAACAAATCTTCTGCAAAACTTTGCTCATATACGCGAAACTCTATGCTCGTATACGCGAAGCCCTAAGCCGCTACGGAGAGCCGTCCTAGGCTTCACGCTCGAGTTCGACCAATAGGGCATCAGGGCGAAAAGCGAAATAAATGTGCAAGTAGAGAAAACTAGTACAGGCAAGTTCATTCAACACAACTAATAGTTAGTGTAATCCCAGGGTGGCTAGGTTCTGGTTGCCCACGTATACCTACGTGCTTGCGTGCCTCTGTACGCTCCTGACTGTCTTGTGTTTTCATAGCTAGCTAGCGCGCATATATATTTATATGTAATGCATCTTTATGCACGAGCGCATGTGTTTCTCTCCGAGGTGAGGAAGAAACATGTTGTTTCTCGTAGTGACTTCTTGCAGTCCTGCACCGGACCGAAGCTAACAGGGCCGATGCGCGTCCCGGTCTGCCGCCGACCTGCGTCGCCCGGTCGAATATCAAAGGGTCTAGAACCAAATAAAAACATGCCGCGTGATTAATTTTCCCTCAAACTTAACTAGTATATATCCCCGAGTCCCGTCCTTCTTCCAGCGGCCGCCATACACGCACGCCCATCTTTGTCTCCGCTTCAACCTGGGGCTCTCTCTCTCTCTCTCTCTCTCTCACACACACACTTTTCGTTTGCTTCCATCCGCCTCTCCTCTCCCATTCCAGGGCCATCCGAGAAGATACAACGTAGCCCGCCCACCCCTACGCACTCATACACAATGGGCGTCCACTTGTCCCTCATCACTGGCGCAATCATCTACAGCATCACGCCGCCGCCCGAGGAGCATGACTCGACACCCAGCGACGGCAGGAACCTGGTCCGCGTCGTCATGTTCTCGGGCAACCATTGCAACGGAGAGTCGGCCGAGCGGTCCGTCTTGGGTGGCGGGAATCGCTGCGCCAACGTGCCCTATCCCATGAAAGCTCTTTGGGCGCATGGAACGTGAGTCCCCCTCCCCCTTTTCTTCTCGTGGGCGGCCCCATGACTGACGGCAATGATGAAGTGGTTGCGGTGTGGCGGCGTTTAGTGACAAGGAATGCAGAGGTACCGCCTTCAACGTGACCGAGGATAAGTGCTACCATGATCTTGTGTACAAGTCAGTTCTGGCTACCTGCTCGGAGTAGTCGAGCCGGGCTATTCTCTAGTTATCCTTATTATTTACTGAAATGAAAGATATATAGATTGAACAACAGCATAGTTTTCCTGTAAGAAACAGAATAAATAACAGCACCAGCCTCCTCGCCCCGGAGGGCTCCGAGATAATACAGTGCCAGCACCCCGCACGATCGGATCGCTGTGCTCCCGCTCTGGGGCCGCTTATAAAATCCACGATACCAGTTCATAACAGTAGCCCGAATTATTAACATTTCCGTACTAGTCCTACCAGGCTTCAGCAATCAAGAAATGTCGATGAATTTCGACGACTGCGCGACGGATCCGCCCCGGGTTTCCTCGGCCCGTCCCGGACACGCCCCGCCAACGTGCTCGAGCAGCTCAGCATGAGGCAAGACGACCGTCGTCACCGGTGCCTCGGACGGCCTGGACTACGCCGCGGCCGAGGTCATGGCCGAAGCCGGTGGCGACGTGGCATTCTGGTACCACTCGTGCGTTTTCCATGCTGCCCCCCCAGATCGCAGCCCGTCTACAACGGCAGCAAGGCGTTTGTGGCGCACTTCGGAAAGTCGCTGGCGCGCGTTTGCGCGCGTCAACATTGTATCCCCCGGGCTTCTTCGACACCAAGATGGGCGCGAGCCGCGGCCGCGGTGAATGAGGGCGTACAGGATGGCCGTGCTGGGGCGGCAGGGGCACGTCAAGGAGATCAAGGGCGTCTATCTGTTTCTTGCTAGCTCGACGTCGTCGTACATGATAGGATCACATTTTGATAGACGGGGGGCATGTTCTGCCCTAGGACAGTCGTTCCCATGGCGTTCTAGGTGGCAATGGAACTAAGCTATGGATGGGCGCTTTGAAACTGTCAAGATTTTCTAATAGTGTGTATCATATATCTACTATAGTGATTTCAAGCTATACTTGATATACTATATAGATAAACTTATCTCAAGCCTACTATAGTAGCCATGTAAAGCTTTACTAGCTTTTTTCCGACTGCAAAAAAGCGGGAACTTGGCAGAATGAATGATATGGTGCTCATAATTGAGCACCAGTTCAGCCCCTCCTTCGTGCTTGCGGCTGAGCTGGCCATGCGTCAGATGTTCAAAACACGTGCACCGGCTCAGACATGAAATAGTGCTTTAAACTGCGCACATCCCCCATTAATGTTACCAGGCTGTTGAACTTTTGCTACAGGTACCAGTCGCGCTATACTTACCATGACCGAAACGAAGATTGAGTGCGCTGTGTGCATGGTGCAATTTAACTCGGATAATGAACTTCGAAAGCATAGTTTCATGTTTCAGGTATGATTGGGTGATAGAATGCTACGAGACGGTCTAATGAATACAAGCAGAGCGAAATAGCAACTTCACTTGCAAGACTTCAATCGCTTATTGCTCATCACTGGCCGACTCAAAACCGCAACCGAGAAGTAGTCCACGCAGGCGATAGTGACTATGGTGAGGAGGCACCAGGCTCTTGCGACATGACGCATCGCTGTCCACATGAGGACTGTGCCAAGCAAGCAGCCACGTTCGAAAGAGAGCAAGAGCTTATTCGGCATTATGGCATACGTGAGCTGCATCCGCCGGCCGCGAAGCTAACTGCTGACTGACAACATCCAGATTACATTTGTAACGAGTACTGTCTGTGTTGCGGAAATGTCTACACCCGTGCCAACAAGTTCTGGCAACACAAATGTGCGACAAAGAACCCGACAGATCATGTTAGAAGGCGAAAGAAGGTACTACGAGACATGGTCAAAGACCAGCTTGTCATAGCAGGCCAACGCAAGAAGAGGGACAGAGCCATTTCAGACGCAAACAGCGCGAAAAGATTCAAGTTCAGTGACGCTACTGACGCCAGTGAGCGTACTGGAACAGGGCCGTTCGAGGTCCAGTTTGCCCAGGGAGCCGGCCAAGACGACGGCGCCACAAAGACAACGTCAGAGACAATCGACGAAGCGCAGAATGCCTGTGTCAGTGCTGCCAGCAATGTGCCACCGGCTGAAGAAAGCTTAGCACAGGCTCCTTTGTGGCCCAGTGGCTACTGTGTCCCCAATTTCCATGTTCGAAGCAGCCCTGTTTTCACACCACTCTGGCCAGAAGGAATGCCCGCAAACAATTCAGCGAACTTATTTGGTTCTATTCACTCGGATACTCCGTCAACTCTGTACGCCGTTTCCTCTCAGGTCGCGGAGATGTTTTCGCAACCTCAGGAGGAATTTCCAATCCATACGTGCTTGTGAATCCTGCAACTATTTGGAATGCGTATCTTGGATGGAGAATCGAACTATGAAGCAGTCAATAAATCGATAGCAATTGAGATCCAAGAGAAGGACTCACAAGCCGCCTTTGTCCATACGAGCTGTGATTTTATTACAACCGCCTCTTCTCATGGCCGCTTCGGCAATTTCAAGTAGGCCGTTGGAGGCTTGTACGGACTTGAACTCTTTCTGGTGGGAGTTCTCGTAGAATATAATTTGTGATCCAGGAGCCCACATGTGCAAGACTAGGCGATCAACAACGGCTGGCGCGACAGAAAAGACAAATACATGACCGATATCAGCGCCAAATGCCAGGCAGACCTTCGGGTTATCTTTCGTCAAGTACCGTTCGAGAATAGGTTGGAGATGCTGTTCTTCAGTCAGGAGTCAGGACTTTGTTCCATTTATACGTTGCACTCCTTACTGGATTTGCTTGGATGTCTTTCTTCATGGAATGGAAACTCTCTGGGCTGCTAGATTTCCCAGCTTCGTCCAAAGTGTGCACCAGATTCCCGATCACTGCATCCTCTTGATAGAAGAGTCCGTGTTTTCTGAAAAAGTCTAGCGGGTAGGTGGCAGCCGCACAAGAAATACCATGTAGCCCCCAAGGAGACGTTTGCTTTGGTTCTGAGAGTTCCATTAGAATAGAGTAGACATTGCGACGTTTTCTGACTGTGACAAAGTCGGGTAAGGAACGGTAGCTGACTTCTTCTTCCGCGCCTAAACGGAGAAACATTTTTCCCGTCGGGCAGTGACACAGGTGGGACGTGCGCGTGATGATGGTTATATAAGGTGGCCTCCACACTGGGAGCTGAAGTTGACAGCGCATTGCAAAATTCATTCGCACTTTCTAACCGTCCTTACTAGTTTCAAGTACTTATCTGATATATTTCGAAGATGACACAGTGTTCCAACTGCAAGGGAACTGGTTACTATGAAGGATTTATATGCGGGAGATGCAAGGGAAAAGGGGAAGTCTAGGGGAGATGGTCGGCGAGACATTCAGCATATCGAGGTCAGCAATCATCCGCCAGCGATTGGCCGCAAAATATACGAGATCATATCCTTCGCGCCCTCAGAGCTCCGAGATTCGAAATCATGCAGCTTGCGGGCGCTCAAACATACGAAACACTCATGAGTGCCAAACACGCGGTTGAATAACCCCTGAAAACCGGCCATTTCCGCAAACAGCGAGCACTCATACAACCCCAAATTTATTCGGTCTTTCAGAATAGAATTGGCAAGATGATCCTTTACTTCAGTGTCTTTTGTATGGACGGCTGGCTTGGGCAAGGTTCTTTTTCTCGGAACGGGTGTGCCGGCACGTCTTTGAAGGGAAACGATCTTTACAAAACGCAGGCTGCCCACGTTTCTCTCTCCGCCCTTTTACCTTCGGTTTCTCTGCGGACTGACCATCTACAATTTATACCCGTTGCTCCGTCTTCTGCATTGCGCTTCTTTCCTTCCTCGTGAGCTCCATCGTCCAGAACAGCCGTCCGCATTTAGTTAGGCTCCTCCCATAGAAGCACCGCTCTCACTTGCTACCTCCTGTTCCCAGTCATTGAACTTTGTTTTGGCCTCTTGACCTTGTGAGTTTCGAAAACAGAGCTTTCCATTGCGTATACTGGTCTTGACCTAGGAAGACGGTCAAGTCGGGTGATTTCGGATTTGTTGTTGAGACGGGAGACTCCACTCCATGGATTCCTCGATTCGGCTAGTTAGACGGCGATCGACTTTTTGGGAAGCGACTCCCTTGAGTAGGCATCATCCAGCTCGCATACTCAAGGGAGTCGCTTGTAGAAAATGTGAAGCCCAGACCGAAGCTCATGGGCGGACCATCAGTCACTGGAGCGGCTAAGTCATGGCCTACATCGTCAGGTTCATCGGAATTACAGCGATGCCGAGAGTAGCAGGCGCCTCGCCACAATCTTCGTCCGCTTCGACGTATGACTCAACAATGTATTGTTGAAGGTTGTCATCTGAGTCTCGCAACGTTGTAGTTTCAATACGAGATCGAGGTTGTCGTCGTGTGCCTGCTCCATATTTACAGCAGCTGTCTCCGGCCTCGCTTGTGATCTCCAAAGCCCTTTTTGAGTCACGATTGCATGACTTCCACGGGTTCTGTTGTGGCGCATTTGTGCTGCGAGAACTTGTTCGTGCGAGTTGAAGACAGCCCGCATCGCGGGCAGAGTTCGTTGCATTGCAATCTGGGGTTTGACAACCAGCAGAATCGGCTACAAGAGAAGAACATGCCACCTACAGCTTCCATAGTGACAAGTAAAGTCCTGCCCTCCCTGCAAAATCATCTAGAGCTCATAGCAGTCATGGCGTAGGCAGAGACCAGACAAGATAACGTTCTCAGTAGTTCACGTAAATCATGCTTTCCAATAGTACCCAAAATTTAGAGGTGTGCTCTCGGAGCGCATCTTGTTCAGCCAGCGTTGGACTCCGCCATGATACATGCCTATTGGTGCGATGTATCTCGTCGTGAGTCAGAGTGCCTCGGAGCACGTCTCGGTGCGCAGAAAAGGGTCAACCATGGAATCGATGTGCACGCCCGGCTGCTTGAGATGAAGTTGCAGAGCGCACAGATTCGCGCGCCATTAGTAAGTGCCTAGGCAACGGGCCAACCAGAGCTCCGGCCCGCGTACGCGGCAGAGGAGAGGGTGCCCATCTGTGTCCAAAAAGGGTGCTTTGCAGGAGTCAGGATCACAAGAGTGCGCAAGAGTGCGCAAGAGTGTGCAAGAGTGTGCAAGAGTGCGCAGATTCGAGCCACATGCAGTGCTTGACAAGGCCTGAAGAAGTCACAGACATGCAAGAGGAAATTTCTCAACTTGCATAAATAGGAGAAAGGTTTCCAGTTCCTGCTGTAGAACCGAACATGACCAAATCGGAACGAAGCAAACAAGAACAGTTTCGCATCAAATTACCCCCATCACGAAATACAACATGTAAGTCTCGCCAAAGAGCGCCAGTACATAACATACATCGGCTCACCCCAGAATCTAGGGCTACAACGACTTGCACCTCTTGCAGTGGAACCGGAAAGGTGACTTGTGGAAACTGTGGAGGCACAGGCTCGACAAGTAGTGAGCCTTACACGTGCTTCAGCTGCGGAGCCTCTGGGCAGACCCCCTGCACTTCTTGCGGCGGTTCCGGTTCCACCTCGGATTAATGTGTTTGTTGGGGGGTTTCAGCCGTGGCAGCAAACCCTTTTTTTTTTGGCTCCTATTAATAATGGCGAGGTACCTACCTACCGAGAATTATTAGGGACTATTTTTTTTTAACAAGGGTAGCTGTCTCGGCGTCAGGACAAATCTTAGTTAGAGAAGAACACGGTTTTTACATTTGCAACAAACCCCCATCTCCAACTATCCAGCCAGTGACCATCTATAGCTACCTATGTATTGCTAGAGCCGCAGTGTTCTAAGCTAGCCACCAAACACCAGGCTAGAGTACGGTGCCCGTCAGAGTCAGAACCTGCTACCGCAAAGCAATGGCCTTCAACATTCAACATTCTGCACGACAACAACCGCCCGTTGTAGTGGACACCGCAATCGACCATGCCGTCCCGCCCTGGGTACATTTTGCGGCCGGCGCGTAAGCTCAGAAGTAGCCATAGGTTCTGCTGTTCCGCAGCCGCAGCTGACATCCTTTTGCTAGGTCTGGCGGACTACTCACCTCAATCATCACCTCTCCGCTTGACGTGCTGAGGACTCGCATGCAGTCCGACCTATACCTGACCGCGTCCCGATCGCGGGCCACGCCGAGCACACCTTCGGTATTGCGTCTTGCCAGCAGCCCGCTCCGTCATATATACGAGACTTTCGAGACGATTGGCGCGATACACCGGACCGAGGGCTGGCGCAACTTGTTCCGAGGTCTGCTCCCCAGCCTCGTCGGTGTTGTGCCCGCCCAGGCCATCAAGTTCTACGCCTACGGCAACTGCAAACGCCTGGGTGCGCAGCTTCTCGGCCGCACCGAAAACGATACCCTGGTGCACGCGCAAGCCGCCGTCGCTGCCGGCATCGCCACAGCCACGACAACGAACCCCATATGGCTGGTCAAGACGCGCCTTCAGCTCGATAAGAAGCAATCCCGACTGTACAGCGGGGTCATGGACTGTGTGCGGCAGGTTCTGAAGAACGAGGGCATTACAGGCTTTTATAGAGGCTTGAGTGCGAGCTACCTAGGCACGCTGGAGACTGTGGTACACCTGGTCCTTTATGAGCGTCTCAAGACGCTTTTTCGCCAGGAGAGCGTCTCTGGAGTAGCGTCGTCCCGTCGCAGCGAGCTGGTGCACTGGGCCAACACGGCGGGGGCGGCAGGTTGTGCAAAGGTGGCTGCCGTCCTCATCACATATCCTCACGAGGTAAGCAAAGGGTCGATGGAAGAACGGGAATAGTACTGAAGGGCTTGTTAACCGAATACGTGTGCACCAACAGGTAATCCGCACACGATTGCGTCAAGCTCCAGTAAACAGCTTGGGCCGAGTACAACAAACGAGCCTCGTCCAGTGCTGCCGGACAACGTGGGCGCGTGAGGGCTGGCGCGGATTTTACGCCGGCCTGACGCCGCACCTGGTGCGGTCCATCCCCTCAGCCGTCATTACATTCGGAGTATACGAGTTTGTTCTGAGACTGGCTGGAGCCAGCTCTTGACAGGGAATGCCGCCGTGTCAAGCTATATGTGTGTCGACTCAGGCTACTGGGGCATCTGTGTCTGGACTGCAGTACGTGCCGGGGTTAGCATACCAGCACTTGCAAGAGCATAGCCCACCAGTGCTGGCCTGCATGATGTGCCAGCACTAAATTTTTGATGTCGATGTGGCGGGTCAGCGAGGATGCCCTCTGACGGCGCTTAGGTACAGGCATACGCCGCCTGGCGCTCCCGCTGGTGGGTTATGAAACGCAGGCTTCAGCAGTTGCGACACAGGTCACTTGGCTCCAGCGCATTTTGACCGGAACCAGCAGACATGGCCAAACTAGCTAGCACAATGCTGTATACCAGTACGTGACGTATACGTCACGCGATGTGTGCCAGTGCATGCATCCCAGCCCTCATTGGCAAGCTCTATCCTAGAAATTCTTGTATTCCCGTATCCTAGCAGCACCCATCAATGCTCCGCCGCCGTTTTTCGCGGCGGTCGAGGAAGTGAAGATGAGTAACACGGTGTTGGGTGGTGAATCAGCCATGGTCATGCGAACTTTGATCCCGGGAAAATGCCCGATCCTTGGTAACGGGGAACGGCGGCTCCCTATCAAGCGAGAGCTCTTCGCGCGCTAGGATCAACCGTCATGGCTGTACACCCTTCCATGACAAAGATGCGCTACATATTGAAATCGTTCAGCCAAGGCCAATTCCCATCTTTAGGAGATGTCCCAGCAAGAAGACATATTATTGTTGGATGCTAGAAACGACAGTACAGCTCAATAACAGAGGTATTCGAAGGATACGGGCAAATGTACCACATAAACATGAGTGGTGCTATTGGCACGAGAGCTTTTTGCTAATCGCACGAGCCTCACGTGAGGCTAATAGTACTAGCGAATTTTATAGAGGTACATATATTTCGGCATATATCACGTACAAATATAAGTATCTTTGAAACCCTCTTAATGTATTCATCCCCGCTACGCCCACGGTCTGTCCTGCTCGTCAGATATATATGCGCGACCGCGTTCTTCTGCAGCACAACAGCCTTCAAAATGCCAAATTTGGTGGTACTTAGTAGGTACTTGGGTCTCCTAGGGTTACACTAGTATCACAGCGCTTTCCCCCATCATCAAACTCAACTTTCCATTACTCTCATCATTCACCATGCCTCTCGATAGTCCGCCCCCCTTCCGGTATCGCCAGCCGCTCATGCCATACGTTGAGGACGTCGAGAAGTACTTACCTGGCGGCTACCACCCAGTTGACCTTGGCGACACGATCTGCGCTGGCGAGCGGGCGTACCAAGTTATCCACAAACTTGGCTACGGGGGCTTATCGACAGTCTGGTTGGTTCGCTCGTGTGCGCGCTCGCCGTCGTACTTTGCCTTGAAAGTTCTTCGTGCCAACCTTGGGGACATGAAGGACGGAGAGCTGCGTATCCTCCAGCATCTCAGAGCGGTCGCCGGCGCTGGGCATCCGAACGTGGTGGTCTTGCACGACTCGTTCAAAGTCTCTGGCCCCAACGGCGAGCATCACTGCCTCGTCTTTCCTGTTCTCGGCCCAAGCCTGGACAATGTCAATATAAAGATTACGTTGCCCAGCACTACGCGACATAAAGTGTGCCAACAAGTTGCTAGCGCCACGACATTCCTGCATCATCATGGAGTCTGTCATGGTGGTAAGCTGTGTTCCCGCAACCCCTATGCAAGCCGAAGCTGACTGATGAAACATGACTATAGACCTCACTCTATTCAATATAGTATTCGAGCTTCCAGACATCCAGTCTTTGTCTCCAGATCGCGTATTTCAGCTTCTCGGCCCTATCAAGACCGAGAACATGCGGCCTAATCGCCGCCAATATACGCCGCATGCCCCAAGGCAGGTCGTCCAGGCGCCTGACTTCTCAGGCCTAGACTTTTCTTCGCTCACTCAGATCCGGATTGTGGACTTTGGACAAGCCTTCTTCGCACAGAACCCGCCACGATGGCTGGGGGTGCCTATCGATTTCTTTCCTGCGGAACTCTGCTTTGGCCATCTACCCTCCATGAAAAGTGATGTTTGGCAACTCGCATGCGTTCTATTCCAGATTCATACAAAGCAGCTTCTATTTCCCACAGGCTTTCGGATATATGAGATACTAATTAGTACCATTACGAGCTATCTCGGACCGATACCCCAGCACTGGCGCGGGAAGTTTGACTTTAATGACTACGGCTACCATGAGCCGGGACAAGAACAGGACACTACAGACATAGAGGCATGGTTTGAGGATAAGAGTAGCGAAAAGACGATGGAGAGTCGGCTTGTCCAGAAGGCAACACATCTATCTACCCGTCAACGGAAATACCTCGTTCAGCTGCTCAGCGAAATGGTGGCATATGAGCCTGCGGAGCGCCTCTCGGCGGTGGATGTGATGCGGCGTCTAGAGTCGGCTTCATTCTTGGATGAAGACTCGAGGGCACCAATCAACGACGAGTGAAGATTTTGTAAAATACGAAGCGGTGAATCGAACTGCAAAGAACCGCTTCTTTCGTTTGGGTTGGGGGGATTTGCGGAATGGTTGACCGGTTACTACCGCATTCGAAGCGACTATGACAGCGGCAAAGGTGGCGGCGCGGACGGCCATTGATACGGATGAGATACCAGCTCATGGCACCTGCGGAACTGTAAATACAAACACACTGTGGCAGTAGCGGAGCGAACTCCCATGTCATTTTCCAGTCCTTTGGTTCGGATCCCCGGTGAGTGACCACAATGACTGAAAGCGTAGGCCGCATGCGTCCTTGCTCCCTTTGATTTCACAATTTGCTGCAACCTATGTATACTAGTAAAAGACGTCAAGCGTTTCCTCCTTCACCCACATCTACAGTCGGTCGCCAAAAGCTCCGCTCGGTGCGGTATTGATATGATGCAAAGAGCTACCAATTGAAGCACAAGATTCTCTTATTTATCTATTGATATATGCTTTTACTATTTACTCGTTCTTTTTACAATTAATATGGTGGGCGTACAGCCTCACCCAGGTCTAGCACAGTTACACCACCACGTACACGGTCCCAAGTCGGCCATCTTTCGTATAATAACGTAACACTTGTATAAACAACACAGTGTTCGCCTCTTTCCGTACTGTTTTCAAGATTGTCTACGTCAGCCCTTGTTTACGTCGCGCAATGCCCACGCTCATCTACATGCACCTCAACAAACGCCCTCTGGAGACAACAACAAGCTTCGCATCATGCCTCTTCGTCTCCAGATGACGAAAATGGTCTCGTCGATTCTGAACAAGCCTTGCTCGTGGTTTCTGCCGCTGGAGGCACAAGATGCGGTCTTGGACGTCTATGCGGAGCCAGGCGATTGCCTTTACAGGATTCGTCGTGGTGTCGGACATCACGCACGGGTGGTGTACGTTGAAGTATTTTCCACAGAATTTATCCCCGAAGACGAGCGTACCGATGGCTATTTCATCTTAAAAAGACTCGCTTGTCTTGATGAATGGCGTCATCAGTGGAAGACACTTGTGGTTGCAACAACCGAGTCTGGTCTGCGCGTAAAGGCCGATGCCTTCCAGCCGCACTGCGTCTCTCCCGACTATGTGTACGACGACTATCCCAAATTCGACATTCTGAAACTCAAGTGCGACCATAACCTGAAAGTCCGGACCTGGCGGTGCGAACACCGAGGCTCGGTCACTTATGTCAAGCTGGCCAGGTTCGACTTTGAAGTCGCGGCTCTCGAGCAAGAGATCAAGACATACCACCTGCTGCGCGGCTCCTCCCTGGCCCCTGCCATGATCGGCTACGTCTACGAGGACACGTGCGATCGCGTGGTCGGTTTCATCACCGAGCAAGCCGTCGGACCCTACCCCGAGGTGGCCGACCACGCGGCGTGCGCGGCGGCCCTGCACGAGCTACACGAGAAGGGGATTGCGCACGGCGATCTGAACAAGTACAACATCATCATGACCAGCAACGGGCCCAAGTTTATTGACTTTGAAGCATCCAACGTTCGTGGCGAGGCGGCCGACTGGGAGCAGCTCGCGCAGAAAGAAACGCAGGAGTTCTATGGACGGCTATCTGATGAATCTGGTCTCGGGGCACCGTGGCGACTTGTTCAAAGAGACAATGACGAGTGATTTTTGCTTCCATAGTATCAATTTTCGAACGATACTATCCGGCACGCGCATGACGAAGCACGATCCTCTCGTCTACGACAGAAGACTAGCATAGCCGCATTAGTTTCAAATACACATTCACTGAATTCTGCTTGCTTCTTCATCAACTCACCACGTGTCCGGTCTCAAGCACTTGCGGCACTTGTGCGCCGACGTCTTGGCTTCCATTCGCTTCCACACGCCGCAGCGGTGGTCGGGCTTGTTGTCGTGGAAAGCGCACTTGACGAACTCGCTGTCGAGCTGGTGGCCGCAAAGGTAATGAATGTAGTACTGTGTGCAAGTGGCTTGCTGTACCAGAGCCATTTTATTTTTTGCGAGAAGGAGTTTGTGCTTGGAATAGCTGGAGCAAGTAACGTTTCCTTGGGCAAGAACGACTTGGTGGATGGACTGAGAACTGGGCAGGAATGGCACTTGCATGTTCTCGACGATTTCCAGGTTGCTGCTGTCGCCCTTTTTAAGTCGGATGGACTGTGTTACGTCCAAGGCGACAGGTTGGTGATGAAGACTAGAATACAGTCGCGATTCAGAGGATGAACACTTTGTGCGCCCCAGGTCTGACACTCCAATGCGGCCATGCCTGGACTTTACGTGTGTCACTGCTCTTGGTCTAGAGCTATGTCTGGTCTTCTAATAAAATTGTACTTTCTAGTATTTTCTACAGTTCTAGTACGACCGGGATCTTTAGCAGAGTACGTGATCGACTGCTCTCTCGTTGAGTGCAGAGCATACCTGGGCTGTGATGGAGAAGCGAGGAAAGACTAGGAGTGATTGCCAACGACCTGGACAATTAAAACAAATTACGTTTCATCTCAGGTACAAAGCATGGCATGTAGTAAGCTCTGAATAGGATAAACGTGTCCAAAACATAATGAAGCAGCGAGCGAGCCTGTGGTATGAGGCACTGTCGGTAGAGATCCGAGGCCAGAATCTTCAAAGCTCTGCTATTCCCGGCACCCGCCACGCTATCCTGTGCAGTGCTGCTCTCTTAGGAATGGAGGCATATGTTTAGGCGAGAACGGCCGAATGCAGCACCTGCATGGGCAGATGTGCATTTTTGCTTGGCCGCCTTTGCTTGGCTTCAGTCAGCCACATCGGGCTGAAGAAGTCAATATCGATGCCGGCATTCCCGGTCGCCTCACTCAAACCCGATACACTTACTTGCCATGGCCTTCCTACCCACCCTCATAGCATGCAGCTCGCGCCTCCATCCAGGTTTTGCTGTTCTTGGCTGCTTCGGCTGAGGGTGGTGTACGTGCATGTCCAGCTTGCGGCAAAATGAGCGCATACGAACGCGGACAGATCGACAAGTAGACAAGTATACAAGAAGCAGTGACTATAAAGAGAGGTGGGTTGGGCTAAACTCACGAACAGAATTTCAACCAAGAAAGAGTAGGTGTAGACATTCTTACATCCCCGTGCTTACACGCGACTACTTGCCGTGCCAACCTCACTCTCCCATCATGGCTCCCATAACCTCCCTCCTCCTCCTGCTCCCCATCTTCCTCGCCTCGCTCATTTCCGCCCAAAACGCAACCTCTTCCTGCGGCCAACCGCACACGTCCCCCGAGGAGGCCTTCTCCGCCTGCTGCCCGTCCTCCTCGCCCGACACGGGCAACAGCACCCGCCCGCACGTCGGCACCTTTCAGATCCTCAACGGCCGGGCCTTTTCCTACCGCTGCAACATCTTCGTCGACCTCGAGGGCGTGCAGGTCGACGCCGTCGGACCGGGCCCTTGCGCCGAAGCCTGCTCGCAGAACCCGGCCTGCGTGTCCGCCGCCTGGGACATGGGCCGCGCGTGCCCGTGCTACCACTACGTCGCGACGAGCCGCCCGGGCGCCCTGCGCATCGATCCGGTAGTCGTGCAGGACATGCCAGGGCCGCCGCCGCCGCCACAGGACTGCCAGGCCAGCGTCGCGTCCGCGGTGGCGAGCGCACGGGGCGAGGCCGAGACGTCCTACCGATCGCAGCTGTCGTCGGCGGTCGCAAGCGCCGTGTCCAGCGCGGAGAGCGCGGCGCGGCTCTCGTGCCAGGCCCTGGTACCGCCACCGGACGCCTCGAGTCGCTGCGAGGGCGTCAAGAGCGAAGCAGAGACGTCGTGCCGGACCATGGTGTCGTTTGCCGTGTCGGGTGCCGTGGCTGGCATTCAGGATGTGGCGCGGACATCCTGCGCGTCGCAACTGTCCTCTGCAGTGTCGAGCGCCCAAGAAGCCGGCCAGACATCCTGCCAGACTGCCGTCACTGCGGCCGTGGCCAGCGCGCACCAGGCGGCACAGACGTCGTGCCAGTCTCACGCCTCGTCTGCCGTCGCGGCGGCCGTCGCGAGCGCCGAGAGCGCGGCGCAGACGGCCTACCAGTCCCGGGTGTCGTCGGCCGTGGCCAGCGCCGTCACTTCGGCTTCGGCGTCTGCGTCGACATCGTGCGAGTCCAGGCTTATCGGTTGGTCCCAATGGGGACATGGCTGGAGTACGTATGCTACCAATTGTTGCAGGACATAGCATCGTGCGGGTTGTCGAGCGACAATTGTGCGTGCTTGCAGAGAAAACTTGTACGATTGGCGCGCATAAGGCAGCTTCTCCAGGTTCAGTAGCTTCCATCGCTACATGGTCTGATTTCGAGTTAAAAAAACAGGGAGCATGGCCCTTTCTCTTCATGTTGGTTAGCCTCTTGAAATGTGAAAAAAGATGATGGGGAATTTTCAATGTTCAAAGTCACTATTGATTTTCTTTACAACTATGCTTAGTCTGAATACAAATTGACCAGTTAACAGTAACCAACCCTGTAAAGTAATGGGTTTCCTCCAGCCGAGGCTATGAATGCAAATCGTCTCATCTCCGAGCATAGTGATGTTGTAGTCTACGGCGTAAGCTTCGCGACATGAGCGTACTATCGCGTTGGCACGACCCAAATATGCACTCATCTATATCAACATCTTTTTGAGCAAGAATCTTTGCCCACTCGCGTATCAATTCACACTGCTGTCCCGTCACAAAAGTTCCCTGTGCCTGAGGTAGCATGGGACACATAGCTGCCCAACCGTGCTCTACTTGTTCTTGCCATCGGGCGCTCAGCGTTGCTTGCTTGACAGCCTGAAATCAGAGACACGCAGCTACCTTGGTGCGATGCTGCAGAGCAACCGTGTACGCTGCATGATGCACCGTCCGATCGGCAATTGCGAATGATGGCGATTTTCGACCCTCAAGTTGGGCACGCACACGACGTGATTCCACCTCCGATTGCGCCGGCCGAGGTACTGGAGCAGCGTGTAGAGCGCATAGAGCATGTACCTGGGTTATCATGTGTTCGTATTCCAGACGCCGAGGGTCAAATCCATTCGACGGGACGAATCGGGGCCGGATGTGGTCAATATAGAAACAGGTATAGTCTGAAACTCATATATCTCATCTCAACCATTGGGTCTCGGTGGGCACTACGTCATAACCACAAAAACTGAATCAGCCTCCCTCGACGAGTCAATTCCCAAACATGAAAAAAAAAAAAATGTCGCACCGTAAATACAGTTGAGATATATAAAAACCATTCAAGTTTTTCTATCCTTGGCGTGAAAAAGCGCTAACAGAAAATATCTGCAAGCCTCTCCGCGCCGGGCCTATCAGCGACCAGCGCCGGCGGCCGTTTGATGTCATGGCCTCGGAGTGCATCCCCGCGGCGGGGCAACCTGCAAACATGCCATTTGCATCACCAGTACTTACTTGTACCATCTCTCCCCCGCCCTGTGTGATGCTCTAATTCCCACAATCACGCCCTTTTCATTCAACCCAACATGTCGCTCACCAACGCCTCCCCCGAGGCCGCCGCCCGGTCCGCCAAGGACGCCTCCTTCACGCTCGCCGCGCTGCCCGCCGCCGCCCGCAACGCCGCGCTCGACCTCATCCACGCCGCGCTCGACGCCAACCGGGAGACGATCCTGGCCGCCAACGCGCGCGACCTCGAACTAGCCCGCGCAGCGGCCGCCGACGGCTCGCTCAGCGCCGCGCTCGTCAGCCGTCTCGACCTCGGCAAGCCGGGCAAGTGGGAGGACATGCTCAAGGGCATCCTCGACGTGCGCAACCTCCCGGACCCGATTGGCAACATCTCGATGCGCACCAAGCTCGACGACGACCTCGTCATGGAGCGCGTGTCGTGCCCGATTGGCGTGCTGCTCATCATCTTTGAGGCGCGGCCCGAGGTCATTGCCAACATTGCCAGCCTGGCCATCAAATCCGGCAACGCTGCCATTCTCAAGGGTGCGTTCATACCAACTTTACCCCCCGCGCCCCAGTACTAACCCCCGTTGCCAGGCGGCAAAGAATCCACAGAGTCCTTCGTCGCCATCTCCCAAGTCATCTCCGCCGCGCTCGACCAGAGCAGCGTGCCCAACGGCGCCGTGCAGCTCGTCACCACGCGCGACGCCATCGCCAGCCTGCTCGCGCAGGACCGGTGCATCGACCTCGTCATCCCGCGCGGCTCCAACGAGCTGGTGCGGTACATCAAGGCGTCGACCAAGATCCCCGTGCTGGGGCACGCCGACGGGCTGTGCACCATCTACCTCACCGCCAGCGCCGACGCCGCCCGCGCCGCCGTCGCCGTCGTCGACGCCAAGACGAGCTACCCGGCCGCCTGCAACAGCGTCGAGACGCTGCTGGTGCACGACGCCGCGCTCACCACGACGTTTCCCGCCGTCGCCGCCGCGCTCGTCGCCCGCGGCGTGGAGCTGCGCTGCGACGCCGCCACAAAGGCCGCCGCCGTCGCGAGCGTGGTGCTGCCGTCGGGCGGCGGGGACCAGGCTGCCGCCGGCAAGATCGTCGACGCTGTTGCGGCCGACTACGACACGGAGCACCTCGCGCTGACGCTGGCCGTCAAGACGGTGGCGTCGCTCGCCGAGGCCGTCGCGCACATCAACGCGCACGGCTCCGGCCACACCGAGTCCATCATGACGGCCGACCGCGACGAGGCCGAGCGCTTCATGGACCAGGTCGACTCGGCCGGCGCGTACTGGAACGCGTCCACGCGGCTGGCCGACGGCATGCGCTACGGCTTCGGCACCGAGGTCGGCATCAGCACCAACAAGATTCACGCCCGCGGACCCGTCGGCCTCGAGGGCCTGACCATTTACAAGTACAAGATTCGCGGCAACTACCAGCCGACGGCCGCGTACGGCGACGGCGAGGGCCAGAAGCCGTTCAAGCACGAAAAGTTGGCCTTGTAGGGGGCCGGGCCGGGGTTGAACATGTCATCATCTCGATTCCGAAATACCAACATAACGTACATATTTTCCCACATGACCCATACCAAGAAAAAAACATATAGATTCACATCAATACACATCCCCTCAACTCCCCGAACCAACTCTATTAACTCAGTCGTTTGATTATTCCTTACGTATTGCTCAGTTATCATGTCGTATTGTTCCTTACGTATTGCTCAGTTATTCATGTCGTATTGCTTAATCATTTCCGCCAGCTTGTCGCCCTCCGACTTAAAGTCGAGGAACGACGCCGTCATGACCTGGTATCGTACTCTGTCGACAGTTAGCTCGTAGTACGGGTAGGAATGAAACACGGTAGCTCACCTCTGCACCTCGCCATAGTTGTCCATGCGGGCACGGCATCGAAACTGCAGCTTCTTGCAGTTGACCGCCTCAAAGGTCGCCATAAACTTGGCCTCGTCATTCTCCTTGAGATCCATCAGCTCGTCCGCCGACATGCCGACAATCGCACGGCCTGACTCGTCAAAGCAGCTGAGCCACTGGTGGCTGGTGTGGTCGGCAACGTTGAAGTTCATGACGTAGCGGTACTCGGGCTTGTCATGCGACAGATTGCACTTTTCGCAGCGCCAGGTGCCGTCACCCATATCTTGGACCTTTTTGTTGCAGCCTTGCGACAGGCACGCGGGGTAGCAAAAGTTGTCCTGCTTGACAAAGACAATGGTCGCCTTGATCGTGTAGTAGGCCTGGTCATCCACACCCAGGTTCTCCTCCTTGACCTGCGCAATCGTCTTGATTTCGTCGGTGCGGCCCGCAGCAGCGCCGACGCTGGCAAGGTTCTGGTGCGTAGTAAAATTGTCGTTGCGGCCGGCGGAATCGTACCAGCCCTTGAGGCGGTGGGCATCGGGTATATCTGGGTCCACGGAAATGGTGCCAGACGAGAGCAGGCTCAGACTCTTGCCGCCAAAGTCCGAGACCTTGGTACCCTTGAAAGCGACAACAGACTCGGGCTGTGCATCAAAAGAGCTAGCCGTCTTGCCCCAGATGGTGACGCGCACCGAGTATCCCGTGTCGTCAACCATGGTGAGTTCACGCTTCTGGTAAGGCGCGCCCGTTTTTTTGGATACAATCTCGCTAATCTCGCCAGCCTCTTTGAGAACGCCAATGATGTCGACCGTGTTGTCCTTTTCGACGCTCTGCAGCTCTTGGATGGTGGAAAAGTTGAAGCGCACCTGAGGCACGTTGGTCTGGTCCTCGGCCTTTTCAATAACCGTGTCGCGCTCAAAGGCCAGCTCGTAGTCGTTGGGCAGGTTGGAGAATTGCTTCTTGGCGAGGTTCACGCGGCAGGGTGTGGAGATGTAGTAAACAGAGCCTTCCTGGAGAAGCTCGTAAAAGGCGTCGCATTGATCGTTGAAGCCTGTGCACTTGATCTCGCCACTCTCGTCGAGGAGATTGACGCTAAACAGCTTGCCCTCGCCAGTCGCCTTGTGCCATGTCTTGATTTCCGACTTGGATGTGACGCGGGCCTTGATTGTCCACTTGTGAGAAAAGGGCGAGAGGCCCTCGATGGGGTAAATATTGTTTCCAGCGTGCATGGCTGGTCGGGAGGGCATCGTTTGTTGCTGAGGGGTGGGCTTCTCTTCCTTTTTGACACCGTAAAAGTCGTTGCCGGCAATGGTCGTCTCGGCAGCCTTGGACTCGACGGCCGAGGGCTCGCCAATCTTGTCGAGGATGCCGTAGCTCTCAATGACTTCAAGATCGAGAATGATGAGGATGCTATTTGGTCAGTGGATACGCCTTGTCCTGTGCGGGCCGCTGGCACGTACTTCTTCCCCTTGAGGTTGTTGGGTGTGTACTGCTTGACGCGGGCGATGCAGCCGCGCACCAGCTTCTCGTCGTGGACTACGTGATTGGCCTGGGTGGCCAGCATGGTCTGGACGTAGTGCTTGCCGTCGCTCATGACGAGGCGGTATCTGTCGCCGCCCTGAGCAGAGGGCGCCATCTGCTTGACTTGCAGACATTGCATCGTCGGGATGGGGAACTGTTTGGTGGCCTTGTCGGGATCATTGAAGATGAGGCTGCGACGTTAGCGGTGAAATCATGACAGGACGGGCCAACATACTCCAAGGACCCCTTGGATAGCGCAGATTCGGCGTCCATTTCTGCTGTGTGTGATGTTGTGCTGATGTTTGGGCGAAAACTCGACTTCCAGTGACGCAGCAGGTGGCGTGAAATCTAGCACGGCACGTCGGAAGCCCGGTTCACAGTGGGCGGACAGCGGACCGCGACGCGTTGGACGCGTTTAATGGAAATCGCCTACCGTGGCACCGCTTTTATTTTAGGCATCAACTACAGCATGTTAGACTTTAATTTTTTAGATTTTTAGTCAACACAGACTACTATTGATTATGGGCAAGAGAGTTGGGGAGCAAGAGACTATGTACTAAAAAATTGCTGAACAACGGTCACAATGGCCCGGCCCTTCGCTGCCTCGTCCATCCCCAGTGGCAAGGTTGAGTCCTCTGTTCCATCTATAAGAGCATCTCAACACTCAATCTCGCCATACTTCTCGTACAGCCTTCTAACCCTTTTCCAGCGTTCCAGAAATGCTTCAAGGCCAATTATGACGGCATATTCGCGGTCATCTTCATTCAGATCATACGCCCATTCCAAATCCAGAAAGACAATCTCACCATTAACCAGATGAAGGTTGTCCGGCTTCCAATCATCGTACGCAGTACCCTGGTCTAGCATCGGGCCATACGCCTTTAAAATCATTGTCTTTATCTGCTCCTCTGACATTTCAACCAACACCGAGTGGTGCGCAAGCGACACGCCACCTACCTCGCCTAGCACGAGAGCCCGGGTGCCATCGCAGCACGCCTCCCCATAGCAAATCGGTATTTGTTTACCTTGAAGCGCACCAAGCTTTTTGTACGTGTACAACTCGGTCGTGAATTCCTCTTCGACGTTGGGTTTTTGTTTCTTGACTATCACAGTGTTTGGTAGGGACCAAGCGGTAGGGATGCAAGCCCGGGCCAGCCTCTGCGGGAGAATGGTCGTCATGAGCCATAGTGCGAACTTGGTCAGGGCACTTTGGTGGATTGAAACACGAAGAACATGCTGGTGCTTACGCCAGGGCGCAGTGCAAGAACCAGAAACTCTCCAGCCAGCCAAGGTGAACTAGTGAAAAGGTTAGCGTTGGATCCCGTCAGGAGCCACGATGGATACGTGCCTGGCATTCTGTGCGCGACGAGCTTTCTGGGCCGAATGACCCAGTCAATAAATTCGATGAGGTCGCCGCGGTTGGATATATTGAAGATAACAAAGAAAGCGCCCACATGTTTGTTGCCTTGCTAGAGTCTACGCGTGACTATCGAAACGCAGCCTTGGGATGCAGAATGGAAGTTGCGGCGGTCGGCTGGGGCAAGAAGGATCTAGAAGATCTGCGCGTTCAGTGCTGAGCACAGTCAAAGTTGTCACGAAGGGCTTTATGGCAAGCGCTTGACTGCTTAGGCGGCAGATGTGAAAGTAGGGAGGCAGCGGGTCAGTTACGACGGGAGGGTGTTGCCTGATCAGAAAGGTGGGTCGAGTACGAGTTCAACCAATTAGTGCGCACGCCTGCAAGCCTCCACTGCACGTGACGGAGCGGGGAATGGGAGGATAATATACCTATATGGCTCGCTCTGCCTCCGAAACTTGGCTCGACCTCGACTGGAGTATATTCGCAACGTCTTTTCACTATGGCAGCAACAATCGAGCAACTTCTTCACGCCCATCCTACAAACCCCGTTGAAGAGACAGGGTATGAAAGCTCCTCAAATAAGGCGTGGACTAGAAACTATAAGCCCATTGTCAAGGTTACCGTCCATACATTTGAACGAAATGGAGCGATGGCAGCGAACTTTGACGCCTTTGTTCCTGAGCAAGCGGATGACCAGCACCGAAAGTCTTTAGGGGCGTACCCACCAAACCCACATTGCTGGCGGATGGATACCGAAGCAGACGCTAGGCATTGGTTTTATCATGAGGTATCGGACACCGTAATGGCTGCTTTTGCATCGGCTCCACCACTGGTTCAAGTTGCGGAGGCCAAGGCCTTTTCGGACCAACATGTTGCCCACGTTGTAGACGAGTCTTTCACCTTCAAGACGCCACGCTCCAGGATTCCGCTAGTCATAGGAGAGTTTAAAAGAAACATCCTACTGCGGGGAGAGTGGCAACGTGGAAAGATCGTCTCCGCTGGGCAGTTGACTTTATCGCGTGAACTTAGAGGGTAAGTTCTATCGCACCCAAAAAACAAAGAAAGAAAGTCAGAACGACCACCTAACTCTAATGCTTCGCATAGATATGCTGTTAAATATGAGTGCCCGCAGGTATTCTGCTTTGATGGCTATTCCCTACTTATGCTACAGTTCAAGGCCAAGACGCTTGAGGCTATCGCTCACGAGGATTGCAGGGTCGACTGCTGGTTTTTCCCGAGAGAGAATGCAGGTGGCGTTCCTCTTCGATACGCCTTCTATAGGTTGCTTGTACAGGGTCTCCGCAGGTGTCAGGGCCAGCTGTCTCCAAGCATTGTGACTTTGAACGGCCAGCAATCCGAGTTTCGGAACTTTTACACTGGGGAGCCTGTCTGGGAGATTGACGATTCCCTACATAGACATCCGTGGGGCATGTACAGGGCGGTTGACCCGAGAAATGGTTCAATGTACTGGATGTTTAATGGGCAGGAGGTCCTGGATGAAAGTGGTCAGCGTCTTTTAGACGGCCCGCCCTTGTACAACTATTGATAGTTTTCCTCGCCGCTTCTGTTCAAGCTGGGTATGACGATTACTTCGGGGAACGACGGAAGAAACGACGGAAGAAACGACGGAAGAAACGATGGAAGAAACGACGGATCAATGTAGAATGAGAATTGAGAGACTGAAATGGAGCATTGGTATCTTCGATGCTTGGCCAGCATAGTCATTTTGGCGCTGAGACTAGATAAACTCTTGGAGTATAATTTGTCGGATAGCGATGAAGTGGCTGCCTGGTCTTGCTTCTATGGCCAGCCGAAAAAATTCATCCACCCAAGTAAGTATGATAATAATAATAATAATTCTTATACACTAATTAGGCTAAATAACCTATCTAGTACCTCTGCTAATTAAAAGTAAGTATGATAGCAGAGTTGGGAAACTTATGGATAATATCCCTGTATATGAGTACCACCACTCCAGCCGTCCCCAGCATTGTAGGTGCATATCGTACCATCCTTCCTCGCGTCGCTTCGCAAACACCAAGTCCGCTATGTCCACTATGGATAACACCCCGGTTAAATAAACATCCCAGGCGGCGCGCAATATCTCAAGACAATATTAGCAGCGTATGACTAAAAAATAGCGGAATGGCTTTATGCTCCTCGTAGAGCTTGTTTATCACTATAGCTAGGTCCTCCTTACAAGTAACTAGGTCTTCCTCACAAGTAACTAGGTCCTGCTCACAAGTAACTGGGTCCTCCTTACAAGTAACTAGGTCCTCCTCATAAGTAAAACCGTTCCCTTTTTCAACGCAGTATCGGCATCACAAGAAGACTCATTTACATAATATATACGTTTATATATGTCTAATCGATTCAGTTTACTAATACTTCATAGGGTATATTCCTAGTAAAGCCTTAATAGAGTAAGTAAACACTGTTTTTAAGTTGTGTAAACTAAATTCAAGTATATACTACAAAGAAATAATAAGGAAAAAGTATAGGAAAGATACCTTGGGAACTAGTGGCTTTGGAAGATAGAGGTCATATCCGGTCCATCCACCACCGTTCGTCATTATCCTCGGCGATTTCTTCCACCACTGGCAGCAGATATGCCATAGCCTCTTTATACCGAAACCTCTCTGGCCAGCCATACTCCCTATACACCTGTCTTATAAACCGCACGTCCAGGTCGGTCGGGAAACAGCCCTCCTCCGCGCGAAACTGGTCCTCACCAATCCTTTCCTCCGTGTCCTCGACCTCCTCGCAGACGAGCATCAGCTTTCCGTCACACGGAATCAGCCGCAAGCACGCAAACAGCTGCTTCATCTCATCGACCCACGCATCCAGCGGCTTCGGTCCGTCGTCGCCTAGTCCCGAGACGACCTCGCAGACCTCGGCATCGACAACGTTCAAGTAGAAGCTGCTCGCCTCCCTGCCGACGCCGAGCGCCAGCGGGAGCATCCAGGCCGCGGGCACCTGGCTGAGCGTCGACCACCACTCGTCGGTGTCGCTGTCCATGTGGTGCTCGACGAACCAGGCGCGGTCGACGGCCGTGTAGTCGACAACCTCGCATTGGTAGTGCAGGTGCTGCGGTGCTCGGCCGCCGAGGTAGGGCAGATGGCGCAGGACCTGCAGCGCATAGTCGCCGCGAAAGTGCGCGCAGTGCTCCGGCGTCAGGTCCGGCCACCCGTCCGCCGGGGCCGCCTTGAGATCAGCCGGGTCTAAGTGGAGGGTGGTGAGGAATGTGTATAGGTCGAGGAGTAGGGCGGCCATCTGCTGCGGCGTGTGCAGCGGCGCGCGGTGCATGTCGGCCGCGCGGTTGTAGTCGGGTTCGTTTGACGACATGGCTACGGTGCTTGTCGCGAGTAGAAGGGATGCGCAGCGTGTAGAACTGCGGCGAGGCAATATCTAGGCATCATTAATCATAAGCTAAGAGAGAGATGCTTTAGCAGCTAGCTTACCAGCGTCCGCCCCAGTAATTAAAAGTCGGTGTAGGAATTAACGTGAATTTAAGCATAAATTGTAAATTATGCCTTACATCTCCTATTCAAATCCTACCATCTCGGATACAAATCTTGCCATCGCATTTCTAACAGATTATATGCACCCTGCATGTCGTTCCCATCCTCCCCTTTACCTATCCGCCTCTCCCTCCCCTAACAAGCAACAGACGTTGCCCGCGCCGCCGTTGTGCTTGGCGGGGATGAACCGGATGCGCCCGCCCCTGGGGTCCTCGCCGCCGAGCTTGAACTCGTCGTCGGATTTCTGCAGGAAGTAGTACGGCGGCCACTCGTCGCCCTGGCACGCCGCGCCCGGGCTCTGGTTGCGCCAGCTCGGCGCGTGCTCGCGGTACCACTTGCGCACCGCGGGCGACTGGCCCTCGCGCCTTGGTCGACGCCTCCGGCTGCTGCCGCCGCCCGGACGGGTTCGCTCGACGGGTTCGACTTGTCGCCCTTTTTGCCGCTGCCCTTTTTTATCTTGTCAGGCATCTTGAGGCTCGTCATGTCCGTCACCTGTCCGACAATGTCAGCTCCTTCCCCACACGGCGTCGTGCACTCGTTAACTCATGATCCCTGGGTTTTTGACTTATGCGAGCTTGAGGTAACACAGCTGTCAACTCAGGGTCCCTGAGCTTTGACGCATACTAGCTTGATATGACGGCAAGGGCCTTGCCGTCACTAGCTTAATGAACCGTTGTTCCGTACTACACTCTTTACCCGTGATCCTTTGACGTTTGCTTCTCGTCCCTCTCTTGCCCCGATATACTGTCAAATACAACTCTACTCCAGTTCCGCCCCCTCATCTATCCATCCATTCATTCCTTGATTCTCTTCTCCTGCCACTTCTGCTGCTACTTCTTCTGCCACCTCTTCTGCCCACCATGAAGCTCTCATCCATCCTCGCGCTGCAGCCGCTCGCCGTCGCCGCCTCCGTCTTCGACACGATCCTGCCCACCACCGCGCCGCGCAAGACGTCAGATCCGTGGGAGTGCTCGACCAGGACACTCGTGTCCTTCTTTGACGTGCCCAAGCCGACCGGCGCACTCCTCGACGCGCTCTTGTCTTTTGGCGACGACCTGTACGCCAGCTGCGCGCCCACCGCCACCAACCACGTCGGCCAGACCGTCTGCGCCTTTCCCGCGCACTCGCGGTGGTGCGCGTTCGCCACCGCGGCGCCCGCCACGGTGTTGCCCGCGTACTCGTCGTACGCAAGCAGCGCCTCCGTCTGGTGGAGCGAGCACGCCGCCGACGCCGCCGCCGAGGCCGAGTTCTGCCCCAACGCCTGGCGCAAGGCCATGATGTGGTTCGCCAACGGGCCCGAGTGGCTTAACGACACGATTGCGTTTGCGGGCTGCTACGCCGCCGCGCAAGTCACGGGGGAGTCGTCTAGGTCGAGCAGCCTGCCGGATGCTACGGCCGGCGCGGGCGTTACAACGCCGACGTCGGCGTCTAAGACGGCTACCATGACCACAACAGCGGAGGCGCAGACGCCGAGTAAGTCCAGCAGCGCCGCCGCAGGGACGTTTGGTAAATCTTGGGTCGTCATAGGTGTGGTGGTGGCTGGTGCAGGGGCTAATATCCTGTGGTAGAGCAGTCGCGTGCTGGATTTCCTTCTCTAGTCAGCCTAGTTGTATTCTATTATTATCTTATATAATTTGTACCGGTATTATATACTGATATTATATCCATGTGAGGAATTGGTCGATGTAATTAATCCTCAAATCTACCTCTAGTTAAACTGCTGTAGTACTGTAAAGTCAAGGGGGCCACCAGACGCTCCCTCGTAAGCGAACAAAAGCGTCCGGTAGTAACTAGCAGTACATGACCATTTCCAAACATTTGTTCACACCCACTACAAATTAGACATGGAGAAATTCAAATCAGGCCAAGAATGGAGTATCAGGCACGCAGGATGCATGCAAAAAGAAAAATCCCTTCGTCCCCTCTCTTGGCAATTTCCAACAGGCTCCTTCGCCCTGATCTGCAATGCGCCAAGACGTTGCCGGCTCCGGACCGGCCCCGTCAATTCTGCTAAAATTGCGCCAAGAAGGGTAACGCCCGTTACGGGAATTTTAAGCTTAAATTCCAACCTCGTGCGCATATACGGAACTCGTCGGTAGCCCTGCAACGTGCCTAGCACAGCCCTTCATGATACCAGCACGCTTCTGACCTGGATAACTTTTCTGCGTCCCTGCGGAGCGTCGACGGAACACCCAACAGGCTTGGCCTTTTTTGCTGCGGGAATGGCGGCAAAGCACCGGAATTTAGTTAGTATTCACATCTAACTCGCGGCATTTGCAGGCTAAAAATACGCCCTTATTGCCGAGTATCTAGCGTACTCGTTGCAGCAGCGCCCTATCCCACTACTGCAGCATGAGATGTAGCCTTATACTCTGCCACACAGCCTTATAAACCGTAACTAGCTTTCCGTCATAACAGCCTCCCTTGCCATCCTTGGTCTACTTCCGCTTACGGCCGCGCCGCGCCGCGCAGTTTCTATTAACCTAGTATAGAGGTAGTTTGATTTAGTAGCTATCATAGACTCAAGGCAATAAAGGGGAAAAAAAGGAAATAGGTATATAGATATACAGGTACAAAAATGGGACTGTTATAAAGAGAAAAATAAGGGCTAATTTATAGTATATAAAACTCTCTCTTATATTAAACATGGTATATAACTTCTATAATTTTAGTAGCTAAGAAGTTGAAAAAAAAACCACATAAAAAATAAAGAATGTTATGATAATGCCTAAAAATAAAGCGGCCCTAATGTGCTACCGTAGTCGCCCCTCAATTGCCGTGAGCGGGGTCGCCACCTGCTTATATAACAACCAGCACCCAAGCAAGGGAATGAATAAAATAGTTGACATGTTTTGGATTTGTTCTATCTTTTTCGTAGACTACAAATTGTAATTATCTTATTCAATCATGTGTTGTTGGCTTTGCAGTCGTGCTGTGGGCGCACAGTGCCGTCACTGCTCCGCCCCATTACCAGCCTGGCGAGCTTGACAGGATCCCCTCGTAAAACGATGTTTACGCATGCTTTTGTAAAAACCATCACACCCAACCAAGCCAGCCGCAATCATGGCCGACGCCGAAAACGCGACGAGGGCGCCCGAGAGCGATGCCCAAGAGACCAGCACCCCTGCCGAAGCTCCAGCTCCAGCCCCAGCTGCACCCGTCGGCGAGCATTGCGTCACCGATCGACCTACGCGTGAGAGCGCGTCTCCCCATTCATCAGACTCCCACTGACCATTTCCCAGCACCTGGCCAGTCCTCCACCGGTGAAATCATCAAGCTCAACGACATCGATGTACAAATTCCCCCCCCCCCCCCCGCGCCACCCGTCCCCAACACCCGCTAACGCAGCTCCAAGGTCTACATCTCCAAGCCCGCCGACTACCCACACGCGCCGGCGCGGCTGCTCCTGTTCCTCAGCGGCGGCACGGGCATCAAGTCGGTCAACAACCAGATCCAGGCCGACCGCTTCGCCTCGGAGGGCTTCCTCGTGCTCATGCCCGACATCTTTGGCGGCGACGCGGCGCCCGGCGCCGTCACCATCGCCGACGACACGAGCTCCTGGCTCGAGCACATCAAGCTCAAGGCCGCCGAGGTGACCAAGTCGTTTGTCATTGACATGTGGCTCGCCCGCGTCACGCCCGACCGCGTCCTGCCCATCCTGCACACGGTCCTCGACGCCGCCCGCGACCAGTACCCCGACGCGGTCCAGCACGGCGACGGCATCTACGCCGTCGGCTACTGCGTCGGCGCCCGCTTCGTGCTCTTGCTCGGCAAGCAGACCACCGAGCCGGCGGCGGACGAGGAGAGCGGACCGACGACCCACGGCCCGTACATCAAGGCCGGCGCGCTGGCGCACGCCGCGTCGGTCGCGCCAGAGGACTTTGACAACGTGTGCGTGCCGCTGAGCCTGGTCTGTGTCGAGGACGATCCGCTCTTCACCGACGAGGTCCGCACGCTGGGCGAGGACACCATGTCCAAGGCGAACCTAGAGCACCAAGTCCAGGTGTATCCCGGTGTGCCCCACGGTAAGATGGCTGCTGCGTTTTGTTTCGCAATTCATGCTAACGATGGGCAGGCTTTGCGGTCGTCGGCGAGTACGAAGAGGCCGGAATACAGGATGCTCAGGTTACCGCCTATGAGCAAATGCTGAAATGGGTCAAGGAGCACTAACTATTCGCGACCGCGCGGCTCTGCTTTGTTTTTGATTTCTCTACCTAGCGATGACCTCATGAACTCCTTCCTATACACGAGTATCCACGTTCCATCCCACGCACACGGAGCTTAGTGACCAATGGTGCACACAATCTTGCCCGAGTTCTTGCCGTCCTCCATATGGCGGTGCGCATCCTGAATCTGCTCCCACGGCAGCACCGTGTCAATGACAATCTTGAGGCGGCCCGAGTCAAAGTCAGGCAGGTACTCCTCCAGCCGGTCGCGCAGCTTGCCCTGGTAGTCCTCGTCGCGGCTGCGCAGCGTGCTGCCCTCGATGCGGAGGCGCTTGTAGAGGATCATGCCAATCTGCGCCTCGGGCACCTGCGCGCCGCCCAGCGTGCCCAGCATGACGATGCGGCCGTCGCGCGCCGCCGCGTCGAGGTTCTTGTTAAAGTAGCTGCCGCCCACAAAATCCACAATGTAGTCGACGCCGCGCCCGCCCGTCGCCTTCTTGACCTCGGCCGCCCAGTCCTGCGTCTTGTAGTTGAACGCCGCCGTCGCGCCGACCGTCTCCGTCACGTACCGGCACTTGTCGTCGGTGCCCGCCGTCGCGTACACGGCCTGCGCGCCCGCCAGCCGCGACAGCTGGATGCCCGCCGTCGCGACGCCCGACGCGCCCGCGTGCCACAGAATGGTCCTTCCCGCCACAAAGCCCAGCACGAGGTGCAGCGCCTGCGTCGCCGTGATCCACGCCTCGGGCAGCGCGGCCGCGCGCTCAAAGCTCAGGTGCGCAGGCTTGTGCAGCAGCATCTTGACGCTGACGGCGATGAACTCTGCGTAGGCGCCGCCGTAGGCGAGGCCAAAGACCTCGTCGCCGGTCTTGAAAGTGCCGCCGTCGTCGTCGTGGGCGCCGCCGGGCGGCCCAAACGACTCGATGACGCCGGAAAACTCAACGCCCAGCGTGGCGGGCGCCTGCGGCGGCAGCGGGTAGTTGCCGCGCCGCTGGATGATGTCCATCCGGTTGATGCCAAAGGCGCGGATGCGGACAAGGGCCTGGCCGGCGGCGGGCACGGGCTTGCGCGCCTCGGGGCTGATGTAGAGGGCGTCGAGCTCGCCCTTGCCGCCTTTGATCTCTATCGCGGTATTAACTAAATGCGGGGGGTGAGGTTTGAGAATCGGGGTGCTCACCAACAGCTCTCATGGTGCCAGCCATTTTGAGTATGATTTTTTTGTATTGTGAAGCTTGAGAGTTGGGGGAAATGACAAAGAGGTGTGGATTGAGTTCGTCGTCTACGTTTACATTTTACTACGTTTATGTGACGATACGCGATGAGGTCATGGAGAGCTCCGACGGAGTTGCTGGATTAGTCACGGCCAGCTGCCGACCATTCCGATGGAGTCGATGAGGACGATTACAAATGCATTGAACAAGAGTTCGCTAGCTATGATGAGTTGGTACTGGCTCCACCACTTGTCCCAACTATTGTAAACGTCAGGTAACTATCATTGTTGTTTAGTTTCAATATTCTGTGATATCCTATCATCTTCCTTATTCTAGTTGTTCTATTTTCTTAATGATCTTCTTAAATTATATTCATCAATCTTACGTTTTTTATTTAGCCTCTTCCCTTTCTTCCTTTTTGGTCTGTATTTTGGCCAGCTTTTTTGTCACATGCATGGATGGTATGAAGGGCGCAGAATTCCCAATTCATATATACATACGTCGAGTCTTATTTGTGCTTCCGTTCATGCAGATGCATGTGAGGTCGCAATCAAATACCAGTATGCATCTCTAGTCGCGTGTCAAGTGGGGTCACCCGTCGAGGATGCAGATTCATCTCAGCGGATCGAGACGGCAAGGATGAAGAAGGTTTGGCCAAGGAACCAATGAATACATTTTAATTTCTGAGCGTCTATTTTCAGATGAGACGAGTATCGTTTTTTGGGATTAATTACGGGGATAGGAATGAGGTTGAAATGTGATGAGAGCTGGACGGAAAAGCGACAGCTGAGAGTGGTCTAGACTGAGTCGTGCAGATGGCTTGCGGCGTGGCGTAGGCTGAACAAGAGGCCGAATTTTGATGTAATATTCATTTCGTTATCCGTTGAATAGAAAAAGAGTATCGCTGCAGATGAGATTGTGTCGCCCAGCGGTCGGAAACAACTGCTCCGTGAATACAACGTGTAAGAAAAAGAAATTGTGCTCGCGAAATTAGAGTGACAGGGGATGCCAAGGAAATTATGTTCCGGACGACAGGGATAGTTATGGTCGTTCGATGGGCGTTCCAAAGGGGAATTCACGAGGTAAGAATGGAGAGGCGAAACAGAAAAATGTACACGAGCTGAGTGAAATGATGCAGGGGCAGAGATGCTGCCAGGACCATTCAAGAAACAAGGCGTGAAGAGGGCTGGACGATTGGATAGCGAAGCTGGGCACAGCATGAAGAGAGAAGAGGAGCGTAACTGGATTGGTTCTAGACTGGCGAGCTGAGATGAGGCGGCGAATGGCTTCTCCACAGCGGCAATAGGGAGCCGCGACCAGGTAACTAGCCGAGTGGCGAAGAGACGGTCAGCGTTATTTTTACTCATTTTTTTAAAAGGGAGGGAATACGAGATAGGAAGAATGATGCGCCCTGTCATGTTGATGATATTGGGGAGAAAAGATGGAGAGGGCAGGGAGGGCAGGTACCTGACGTGGTGTGACATGGCAGTAGTCAGCAGTATCCTGTCGTGTCTCGGCTGCAGCTGGAGGTTCTGGGCGTTCTTTTGTCTTTACTTCTTGTTACTGTTTCCCCGTCATTTTGCTTGTAGAGAGACTTAATAATTAGGTACCATAACTAGTGCAGGCACCCCGACTTTGTCGAGTCGCTGACACGTCTCCCTGCTGGTTCCTGCATAAGTGGGTCAGCTGGGAGATGTCTTGTTTTCCTGTACCAAATTATTTTGTTTTGGTGCAATAATCTGGATTTAGCCGTACCTTCCAGTTACGCAGTTGCGGTGGAGGCGCCCTAACAGCTACATACAGCACCAGTAAGGCGGCCCGTCGGCCTCGGTCGAGACAATGGCATTTTGGCGACAATAGCGGCGGCATCGGCAAGGCGCACTGTGCTTGGACCTCATCGCGATGCATGATGGATTCCCATTCCGTGACAGCCTATCCAAGTACCTTAGAACTAATAACTAACTAGTTCCCGCTCCACAGAACCGTTCAGCGTTCAGCAGGAAGCAAACAGAGAGGGGTTACGAAGGAATCGAGATTCACCACACGACTGATATCCTTGGCGGTTCTCTGTCACGAAAAGCAGCGAAACAATAAATTCTTTTCAAGTCATTTTTTATTTCTTCGAGACCGAATAGCTAATCTCCATCTTGGCTGGGCAGCCACTGAAAAGGCACGCGTACCTGAGCGGGCTCCACCCACACTATCCACTCCCCCTGGCCTACTGGGCGGTCCCGGCGGGCCTCTGTCGCCCTTCTCCTTTTTGACTGGTAGGTGCCCATTGCCAATTACCAGGTCCGTAATACTATCAGCACTCACTCCGTAGTTTCTACCTAGGTAGGTACCTAGTAGTTCCTTCCTGCCAACAACAATCCCACGGGCCACACCTGCAGCTGCCTGCCTGCCTGCCTCACCTCCTCTCCTCCCCCCCCCCCTCCCTCCCTCCCTTCTCCCCTAGCGGCCGGTATAAAGAACGCCCTCTTCCAAATCTCCCACACTCTTTTTCTTCCTCTCCTCTTCACCCACATTCATTCGCTCATTGCTATACTACATACCCTGACTTTTTAGTCAATTTCATTCGTTACTCACAAACAACCTATTTCGCCGCTTTCGAGTCCCAAAACCTAATACCGACAAAATGAAGTTCTCCGTCGCCTCTCTCATCGCCGTCGCCGTTGGTGCCTCTGCCTACTCCAACGTTACCGTCACCACCGAGGTCGTTGATGTCTACACCACCTACTGCCCCGAGGCTACCCAGATCACCCACGGCACCAAGACCTACACCGTCACTGCGCCCACTACTCTGACCATCTCCGAGTGCCCCTGCACCATCACCCGCCCGGTCACTGTTGTCTCTTCTGTTGTCTGCCACAACTGGTATGTTTGCCACGCAACACGCATGGAAACGAGAATGACTGCTAACATGCAACAGCCCCAAGCCCACTGGCGCTCCCCCTGCTCCCGCCCCTACCTCCAACGGCACTGTCCCCGTCAACCCTACCCCCAGCGCCATTCCTCCTACCGCTGGTGCCGCCAAGGCCGTCCCCGCCCTTGCCGGTCTCGTCGGCCTCTTCGCTGCCCTTCTGTAAATGGAATAACGGAATCGTTGACCACCCTCTGGTCGTGATGAGGTTCTGGTTCATGGCTGGTGGCAGTGGGCCACTGGGTGCCTGAGGAGGAAGATACGACAGGGAGAGTTGGTACATAATTACGCTCTGGATCCTCGCCGCTGTGGAGTATATACAGGCCACGCTTGCTCCAGACATTTCGTTGTATATTCTGTTTTTCTCGACGCGAGGAATTCGCCCCCTAGACATGCATGTGCGGTCTTTTCGTGGTCGGGACGATGAATGGTTTCCTAGCCTAGGAGTACTTGGATGACTGTCGTGCCTCTTGCAGAATTCCATGTCTCGACAAGTATAATTTGAAGTCATTTTACCACGATTTTGCTTGTGTGGATGTGTGCGCTCTTGAAGCTCTTTTAGGGGCCCTGCGCCTTTATTATTATGAAAGTGTTGGGTGTTTTATGGCTTTTTGTATTGTCTCGCTCGCCCATTGTAGATGGGCAGCAGAAAGCCAGTTTTGGCCTGATTCTTTATTTGCTTTACTATTTCCATCTTTTTTTCGTGAACTGTTTATACTCTAGACGAAGCATCCATCACACACCATCAAAGACGACGCACATGTCAGCCACGCTGAATGTACCCCAAACGACAACGCACATGCCAACCATGGTGAATGCACCATCAAAGAACGGCACATGGGCCAGCGCATCCGTCACACCACTCCTTGTACCTACGGCGCAGACACCCATGGCACACAGTCATGGCGCCACAAACGATTGACTTGGCATTGTCTCTTGGTCGACGGCCCGCGCGCAACGACATCCGGGCGCCGTCCTCGTTTTGAAAAATAACTGCGTGCTCCCGAGCATGGTCGATGCATCTTGCGGCATCCGCTGTACATGGACTTGGTACGGTACACGCCAAAAACGACGGTTGAACGACTGGTAGTTATTCAGCGCATCGCTGTCGAAACTCTAATTAGTGCCGTGATAAGCTCCTTTATTATTTCTCTGGCTTTGCGTCCTTGCGTTTACACGTGGTTTTCTTATCGGCTTGCCAGATAAGCTTGCCTCACACTTCTTTCTTGTACTGCAGTACTGCATACCAGGGCGCCTTACCCTATACCTAGAGCTGGCATAATATTTTGCTGCTTAATTGTGCGGCTCTTGCACCCATTATATGAGGAATCTGTATTTCTGATAGCTTGATAGCGCGCCGTATAATGATTCGCCTAATGCGCCTCGTGCGCTGCTGCAAACTGCTGTCTTGGATGTGTGTTCATCTATCTGAATTGCACTTTGACTAGGATCTCGATATATCCCCACGACATCATAACAGAGGCCCAGGACCATAACAGAGCTCCAGATCCAGCAAACAAACGAATCGAACAAACAACCCAATCAAAGTACATTAATTAGATGCGCATGCCACCTCATCACCATCACTTGGCCTTGTAGCCGACATGTAGCCGCGCAGCCATACAGCAATCTCACTCACTCATTGACACGACTGCCGAATACAAACAACCACTTCACCCTGGAAATCCTAGAAATTAACCAACAATTCACAGAACCGCCATTACACGCTCGTCTCCAGCCAGTGTCCGGGGAAAAGGAAGCTCGGCTGGAGAAGCGGGGACTCGGGCCGGCTTGCTCTCCATAGTAGCCGCGCGAATCGAACCGGACCGCCGCCATTGGCTGTCCACTAAGTGCCGAGCCCCCACACAAGCTCGACTACATCCCAGCATTGTCATCCCCAGTCTCTCTTCAAACTCCTATCCGGCATTTCCATTCCTCTCTTCCTTTACCCCCATCATTTTTACATTCATGATGCCATAAAATCTCCCCTGAGCCCACACCACCCATTGACACAGAGTCCATGTCCCGCCGCATATCCCCATCATTTTACATTCCTCATGCCATCAAATCTCTCCCCTGATCCCAACACCCATTGACAACACAAGTCCATGTCCCGCCGCATCGCCCTGCCCGTCGTCCACCGCCGCCAGAGAACCATGCCTCACCTCCAGGACGAGGTCCTGCGCGAGAGCCTGCAAGCGCCCGAGTCCTTCTGGGCCGCGCAGGCCGCCCAGCTGCACTGGCACAGGCAGCCCGACGCCACGCTGCGCACCTCGGACCGCACGCTCGCCGACGGCGGCACCCCGCACCCCGACTGGGAGTGGTTCCCCGGCGGCGAGCTGTCTACCTGCTACAACTGCGTCGACCGCCACGTGCTCGCCGGCCGCGGCGACGCAGTCGCCATCTACTACGACAGCCCCGTCACCGGCACCAAGGAAACCTACACGTACGCCCAGCTCCTGGAACAGGTCGAGACGCTGGCCGGCGCGCTGCGCGAGGAAGGCGTCAAGAAGGGCGACGTCGTCATGGTATACAGTAAGCCCCCCCAAAGACACTTTGATTGATATATGGCAGAAAAAGACTGACCTCCAGTGCCCATGATCCCCGCCGCGCTCATCGGCATCCTCGCCATCAACCGTCTCGGCGCCGTGCACTGCGTCGTCTTTGGCGGCTTCGCCGGCGCCGCCCTCGCCGCGCGCATCGACGCCTGCAAGCCCGTGCTGCTGCTGACAGCCTCGTGCGGCATCGACGGGAACAAGCCGCCGATTGCGTACCGGCCGCTCGTCGAGGCCGCCCTCAGGCTCGCAGCGCACCCGCCGCGGCGCACCATCATCTGGCAGCGCGAGCAGCTCCGCTGGGGCAAGACCAGCCGCGTTTCCCAATCCTCGTGGCAAAAGTGGCTGCGCAGCGCCAAGGAGCGCGGCCTGCGCGCGGCCTGCGTGCCCGTCGGCAGCAGCGACCCCGTGTACGTCATCCACACCTCGGGCACGACGGGCGCGCCCAAGGGCGTGCGGCGCGACGCTGCCGGCCACGCCGTCGGGCTGCACCTGTCGATGCGGTACCTGTTTGGCGTGCGCGGGCCCGGGGACGTGGTCTGCACCGCGTCGGATATCGGCTGGGTCGTGGGGCACTCGTACATTGTGTACGCGCCGCTGCTGGTCGGCGCCGCGACGGTGCTCTACGAGGGCAAGCCCGTCGGCACCCCCGACGCGTCCGCCCTCTGGCGCCTCGTCGACGAGTACAAGGTCAGCGTGCTCTTCACGGCGCCGACGGCGCTGCGCGCCATCCGCCGCGACGACCCGCACAGCGCGTGTCTGGCGCGCGTCGGCGTCCGCGGCGGCCTGCGCTCCCTGCGCGCGCTCTTCCTCGCCGGCGAGCGCTCCGAGCCCCGCCTCGTGCAAATGTACCAGGACCTGCTCGACAAGTACGCCGCGCAGCCCGCCGCGCACGTCATTGACAACTGGTGGTCGACCGAGGTGGGCTCGCCGATGACGGGGCGCGCGCTGGCACCGCACGCCGCCGCGCGCGATGACACGGGCGACCATGCGCTGCTGCCGCCGCCGATCCGGCCGGGGAGCGCGGGCAAGGCCATGCCGGGGTTCGACATCCGCGTCGTCGACGACGACGGGCAGGAGCTCGCGCGCGGAAGCATGGGAAACATTGTGCTCGGCATGCCGCTGGCGCCGACGGCGTTTCGCACACTCTGGGGCGACGAGGCGCGCTTCCACAAGAGCTACCTCGCGCGGTTCGGCGGCCGCTGGATGGACACGGGCGACGCGGGCATGATTGACGACGAGGGCTACGTGCACGTCATGAGCCGGCACGACGACGTGCTCAACGTCAGCGCGCACCGTCTCTCGAGCGGTAACGTTCCCCCCCTTCCCCCTTCCCCCTTTTCCCAGAAAAACCCTTAGCTAACTTTTGGCGCAGGTGGCATCGAGCAAGCCGTGTCCTCGCACCCGCTCGTCGCCGAGTGCTGCGTGGTCGGCGTGCCCGACGCGCTCAAGGGCCAGCTGCCGTTTGCCTTTATCACGCTGTCGACGGGTGGTGATGCGCACCCGGTGTCGGCGATGCCGGAGGCGGGCGTGGCGGCGGAGATCCAGGCGCTGGTGCGCGCGCAGGTGGGCGCGATTGCGACGCTGGGCGGCATCGTGCAGGGCCGCGGCGTCATCCCCAAGACGCGCTCGGGCAAGACGCTGCGGCGCGTGCTGCGCGAGCTCGTCGACAATGCCGTGCACGGGGACTTTGACAGGGAGGTGACGGTGCCGAGCACGGTCGAGGATCCCGCGGCCGTCGAGGTGGCCCGCGCCAAGATTCGCGAGTACTTTGAGACCATGGGCCACAAGCACAAGCCGGTCGAGGCCAAGGCGAAGCTGTAGATTGTCTACGGGAGGAGATGGACAAGGTTGCAGTGCTAGATAGGGTTGGCGTGTAAGCCGATTGCTAGACTCGCTGGAACCAGTGCGAGTAGTGACGCCGTCACGATTGAATACTACATTTTGGATAGACTTCGCTTGCACCATCATGAACATGCCAACCGCTGTAGTTATTCCGGCATCCAAGCACGCGACCGCCGTTGGTCGTGCATGGCCTCTTCGTCCACAAACCACGCGCCCACAACATCACCGTCGTATTCTCCGACACCCACCCCCCCTTTTCGTTCTACAGCATTGACGCATATCCCCTTCCCTCCACGCATTGATTCTCCGAGTATGTGCATTTGTTTTTGTGTGCGGCGGGGGGGTTTGGTGCTGTACTGATCTGCTGTGGTCCATCCGCACCATCTGCGGTTCTATCCGTACACATCAACTTGGCCAGCGCAGCACTGCATTGCATGTGGTTGCACAAAGACCAGGGCCTTTTTTTTTCTTCTTCCCTCTATGCCAAGCTCGAACCAACACGACCCCCTCCTCGCACAGAATTAAAAAAAAAACACACACAAAGGGGCTTTCCTGATAGTCGGTGTGAACGGGTCGTTCTGTGTACGCGCCAACCTCCCCCCAAAGGCAGCACAGAGGCAACATGTTGACGGGCTCACGGGCGGATCGTTCTTGGTTCGAGCGTCTCCCGTCCCTTCTTTGTGCCCATCTCGATAAACTACGCCGGGTCGCGCGCTGGGGGGGATGGTGCTGACCAACGATGAGGCCATCTCAACATGCGGTGTATAGGCAAACGTTGTGCAACAACACCCCCATCCCTGCCCTCACGGCCAATGATTTCCATACACACTGCTCATCGTTTTTCCTTTTTGCCGATCCCGTTCTTCCCATTTTTCTTTGCCAAAACAAAAAGAGCGAGAGAGACAAGCATCTACCCGTTTCTCCCTTGCTTCCCAACCTCGCCCCCCCCCCAACGGGCCTTGGTTTTTTTTTTTGGGAATGTCTCTCTCAACCCAGCATGTTGTGTAACCGTAAGCAAGCACACACACACTGCGTTTTCTTTCAAAAAAAAGAAAAAAAAAACGACCACACTGTGTGACAGTGGTGTGTGTGTGTGTGGGTGGCAGGCAAGGTGGTTTGGTTGGCTGGACCTGCCCCCGGATAAAACAAAGGATTTTTCATCAATGACGCTGAAAAAATTAAAGTGATACAAAGAGATAGGCTCCCTTTGTGTGACCCCGGCCGTAGGGCGTATTTTCACATCAACCCTGTTTTGGGGGCCAAATGGGGTGACTATCAGCAGAGAAGGGCCAAGGTTCTCTAGCCCACGCGCCGTCGTTGTGTTTGTGTGTGTTTTTTTTTTTGACGTGGCACAGGTGTGTGTGGGCGACGAGGACGAGAACATGCTGGATTCACGGCAGAGCCGTCGGCCAGACCATGACGATGCTGGTCGAGGGGCCAGGGGGGGAGGTGTGACGAAGGGGTTGTCGATTCAGGCTCCGTCTCGAGAAGCAGTATTCGTATCCCCCGTTTGACCCTTTTCCTTTCCCGACAAGCAGTGGGCGGTTTCCCTAGCCATGCCGTAGACGCTGTTCTGGCCATGGGGCGCGAGGCCAACGGGAGCGAAGCGCGCCTCGGGGAGCCTCGTGCCAGCGCGGATGCTCTCCAAGACCCTTTTGAGACAAGCAGTGTCAGCCATTCATTCCCACATCCTTGCCTGCCAGAATGTACTCCCCCCGCCAGGTAAAAAATACGCACCATTCAACACCAACATACTTGATGCCGCAGCCGCCGCGCCTCCGAATCTCCTTGTCCTTCTTGGTGCCCGCCAGCCCGCCGGCCGGGCGTCCGAGGACGACGTGCGTGACCTGTCGGCGGGCGAGGTGCAGCGCCACGCGCGCGCCGTGCGCGACGAGCGTCGTCTTGAGGTGGTGGTCGGAGACGAGCGGTGCGGTGCTGCCGTTGACGTAGACGACGATGCCGGTAAACAACCGCGGGCCTCGTTGCTCGTTGCTGTCTGCCTTGTCCGACACTATGCTCTGCTTCGAGTTTACCGAGTTCATCGAACCCGGCTTGGCCAGCATCTCCGCCACGCTCTTTCTCTGCAGCAGCGGTTTGCTGTCAGGCAGCGGCGGCGGCGGCAGGACGCGTTCCTGGGTCTGAAACTGCCTGTTCAGCTTGGCCGTGCGCGCCGCCCGCCACGCCGTCTCGGACACGCCGTCCGTTTCGCGGCGGGACGCCTCGCGCCGCTGGTGACCTGTGGACGACGAGTTCCACGGGTCAAAGGGCCGCTGGGCGGACGGGGGCGGCGCGGGGAGGGGGTTCGTGTACGGCTTCATGGGGAGCTTTGTCGTCGGGGATCTGGCCCTGTCGCGGTCAAGATCGATGGTGGACGGGTTGTGCAAGTTCACGGTGCCCTGTTGGTTTTTTTTGGCCCCCATCGCGCCAAGGCAAGCGCGCTAGTGTGCATTGTGGACGGGGAAAAAAAGCGTTGGTAGAATTTTGTTGCGAAATGATGGCAACTACGGGGATAGAAATGCAAAAGAGCGTCGGTCTATATTGTCTATATCGTCTATATTCAATGCTGTCGCGCTGCAGGAGACTTGTGCCCTCCATCTCGGACAAGACGTCGTGGTTGCTTCGCACATGAGCAGTTGTAACTACCTACATGCCGACTCACCAACATGTTTGCGTGGGCAAGTGTCTTTATTTTATTTTTTCTAAAAGGCAGTAAAATTCTAGAGCCACTCAACCAACAGCCCACCTCATCACCTTGTACCAAGCCAGCATCTCCCTGCTCCCTCGCTTCCGTCCTTTCCCAGGTCAATTTTACCTTTCAAAAAAAATAAGAAAAAATAAGGCACAACCGCTCAACAATAGCCGGCACATTCCTACTACCTACATTCATGCCGCCATGTACAAGTCGCCGCTTCAGGCAAGCTTGCCCAGCTGCACAATGTGAGTTCATGTACATGCACGCGGTACCGGCAGCGGCAAAGCGGCGGCGGCGCCCACAGCCGACGCCGCCCACCAGCCCCGGGATCCTCTTTCTCCTCACCTGCAATCCGTCTTCTCTCTCCGTCCATCTCTTCCATATCTCTTGTCATTTTCCTACACAAGTCGTATTGGGCACTAGGGGGGCAAGTCCTCGTTGCCCAAACAGAAAAAGCCCACCCTCCTAAACCAAAAAAGAATGGCCAGCGCAGCAAACAACGCATCCATCCATCCATCCATCATCCCACATCCCCTCATCCCATCCACTCGGCAAAATACCGCCCTGTCGAGAATAGGTACATGCATCCGTACGGATATACATATACATGTGTTACCAGTATATCGTTGGCCAGGGGTTCACCTTTTTTATTTATTTTATTTTCTGTAATGGAGTGGCCGATCCACAGCGCGGCCGCCGCAGGCTTTGAGGCGGCCCGTCCGGAATAAAATGACTGTACGAATTATTTTCTTGCTATTCCTCTTTGCCCAGAACATCTCTTTTTTTATTTACCCAAATTTCTCTTGCTCGCCCCAATATTGAAACCACGACCAGGGTTGAGGGACTGTACGAGATGCCACACATACACACACACACACACCCAGGTGATACATTCCTAGTACAACAGTCCCGTCTCATTCCGCCTTTGCGGGCTACTGTCTATACCCAGTACACATAATATAAGCTGACACGTATTATCACCAACTATAACAAACAAAACATGAAAGCGCCCGCACACCTCTCCCGGTCCATCCCCCCCCTCCCTCTTCTTCCCCTCCGGCTGCAACGGCCCGCCATTGCAGAAAACCGTTGATGTCCTTTTTCCCTGTCTCTCCCTCGCCCCCCAAAGCTATCCGTAACCGCTGTAACACCGGGCACGCATGCACGCCTGCCCGCCCCCATCTTCCTTCTTGTCTCGTCATTTTCAATTCAAGACATGACACACACTCCGTATAGTAAATATTAAAAAAAGAGTCCACACACTGTATATCAACAGATGAATGGCCCACCCGCCCGTCCATCCGCGGAACCGAACCCGAGGGGGCGTCTACCCCCAATCTTGTTCATGAACGGGGAAAGCAACAAAAAATACATTCAAATCGACAACAAGTACAGCTCGTACAAGACACGCAAAAGGACGAAAATAAAACGGGCTGAGAACATCAAGGGTTTCCAAAACGCGGCCGCATCACACATGCGTCTCGGCTGCCCATCATCTCATATGTCTTCCCCCCTCCCCCACCACCAACTCCTAGTCACCACCACACCAGCATTCAGCTTCCAAAAAAGATGCTGTAGAAACGAAAAAACACGCCGCTCCGTCTTTTCCTGTCTACCCGTCTGAATCGTTTGTTCAGGTCTCGCCCATCAGTGGGGGGGGGAGGAGGATCACCTTGCCGACTATCACTTACACGACCGGCCCCCTCCTTGGAGATCCCTGCCATCATCACGCAAATATATCCAAAATCGACGCCCCTCTCTCTTTACGAATATACCGACTGGGACTTGTAAATACAGCCCATACATATCCGTCTCGAGAAAAACCCTCAACCAGGCCTTCGTTTCCCCCACGGCGTGCCAAACCACATCTGCATCCGCCCCCTCCCTTCCCCGTTTCTGCCATCGGGCTCTGCACAGGTCCTTGCATGCTCATCATCATTTACGATTCTTGTTTCTATTTTTACATTCATCATCTTTTGCCCCTCCGGCTTTCGTTTCCGGAACACATAAAAAAATCTGCCCACAATCACGGCCGACAGTCGACCGGCCGGGCATGCCCACCCCCATGCTCTTGAAATGGTAAAAATATCCCCCAGCCTCGCGACTTTTGCCCGTCTTGGGACCAATTCTATAGTTAAGCCCAAGGTGGACAAATTACCCCCCCCCCTGCAGCCTTGAGGGATTAGCCTCGCGACACTGCCAAATTGCACACAACGAACAACTTGCACGATGCATTGTTGCACAGACTCTGTTTTTTCAACCCTCGGAAATATACAGAAAAAAAAACACGCGCCAAAGAGGGCTGCTCCCGCCCCCAGGGCCAAAAAAAAAAACCCGCACATAATCTGATTATGCACGTCCAAGCGGCCTTGCGGTCTGTATCAGGTTCATCTGGGCCATTACTCGTGAGTGCGTCGCCGTGCGCCGACGCCTTTCCATCATAGCGTCGTTTCACCCACGCCTCTCTTTTTTCTTGTTAAAAATCCTTCATTGCTTTCCTCTGTCCATGTTGAGGGCCAAAAACAGGCTGTCGTCTTGTGTTGAGAACCCTAACGTTAATTACTTTAATTTCCTGCATCCGTATATATAAGTTTGTGACGGGATAGTAAAGTCTTACTTTATGCCAAGCGAAAACATGTTTCGTCTGGTATTGACAAATAACTACAGATTACAAACACCTTGTATCGCAGAAAAAAAGGCACCCCGCTGCTCATCATCTCGGCGAGTCAGCCATATCACACCTTTTTCACACCTTCTCTAGACCTTGCCCCCCCATCTTTCCCAGCCCCGGTTGCATAAACTACGCAAAGACAGATTTGGACAAGGGATCAAATTAAAAAAGTGAAAAAAAATAAAATAAAAAAATATACGCGAGCCTTACCAACACAAATAGCCCTGCAAAAACGCCCATCTAAACCAACCCCCGGCGCCGCCTTGGCTGGGCTGGGCTGCAGGTGTACCCGCCCAGCAGCCTGTTTCCTAGTCGGTTTATTTTCGTTTATTACGCTGTCCCTTTTTGTTTGTTTTAAAATATGTAATATGTATATACAACTGTATAGTGGAATTTCATCAAAATAAACAAAAATCTAGAACAAATCTAGCCTCGGCTGTCAAACGTCAAACTACATAGATAGCGCCCCCACCACTATGGCGTTGCAAAAAGACGCACTCCAAATCAATCACCCGCCGCCACTTCATGTAACTATACCATGACCTAGTCCTTGTGTTTCTAACTAGTTACCTGGTTATGTATTTAGTTTGCGGGATGAACGCTCTTATCTGTCCCCTATTATTCAAACCCTACATAACCTAGTCATTATTTTGCAGGCGTTCATGCACTACATGGAGGGGGTGGGGGGGGCGTGTCTGCCAAGTAATTCGTACTGTAACTAGAAAATAGAAAATAGAAAATAGTTAGAAACCTATCCCAGGAATGGCCGTGGGAGACATTGTCGGAACCTGATACCGCTCAGTCACCATCTTCAACGCCGCCGGCGCCGGCGCACGTCCTTGAAATTCGCCGACAATGTTCCTTTCCATCAACACACCAACAGAATACATACATACCTCGTCGCTCAACTCAGTACCGTTGAATTACTCGGGCCATTTCGCGCCCCGGACCCGGACCGGCCGGCCATCTTGCCTCCTCTCAGCGTTACATCCATCCCCCTCCCCCCCCATGGCGCGCCACCCAAAAACAACGCAACAACGCACAGCTTTTTCTTCCTTTTGCTCTTTTGCGGCGCAGCCCGCCCCCCATCCCAACCGAATGACCCCCTCCTTTCGAGGTGGGCTTGCCGCACGGGAAGGCTAATGTACCTCTATGCACACTTGCGGAACCTCCCTCTCCGTTGGCTGTTTCTCTCTCGCGCTCTCTCTCTCTCTCTCCATGTACCTCTTTGCCTTTGCCTCGCTCCCTCTTCTCCTCGTTGTCGTCGACTTCCTTTTCTCTGCCGTCCCGGTCAGTGCTGGTGAGCCCTTTTCGCAGATATCCACCACCGAGGCGGCCGATCCTATTCTCCAACAAGTTAGCCAAACACCGACCCTGTTTAGCTTCCCTGAATAACTAGCATCCCAAGTGCTTATACAAAGTACATGGACGCAACATGCACACTGTCCGTACGAACGAGACCCCCCACCTGCTGCTGCTGCCCATCTCGCCATCTTGAAAGATGCACCGCGCATGTCTTCCTTTTTCCATTGCGTTACTGTAATCCGTGCGAATTACAGATTTCCCCCCTGACACAAAAGGAAACCTTGCGGCGCACGCACCCATGTGCTGCATCCCGTCTTGTTTCCCTCTTGCTCCAGCTGCATTGCATGCACCCACCTCGTCCCTCCGTTTTCCCTTTGGGGGCGAAAAGCCCAACTTCTACAAAGTAACGTTAGTTACAGAGTACATACCAGAAACCAGTTCGCCTCGTCAAGACACACTCGCAACCACTCGCAACTCGTACTGGTAATACCACGCCGCTTAAGCCCTAGTTAGACTGACCAACCCCATTCATTCAACGTGAACCCTGCTACTGGAAACGGAGCGCGCCGTCACTGTCCCTCACGTTCCAGGGCTGAGATGCCGCACAGGAAAAAAGCCCCCGTATCAGTCTCTATTGTACAACTTCGAGTCAGGTATTTGGTGGCACGACACATCAGCCACTGCAACTCCAAGCAAACAAGAGTTTGTTCCATGTAATTTGTACCTGAGACCTTTCTCAGTGCCCAGAGAAATCCCCTTCTCGAAGCGCCCAGCCCCTCCCAATTCCATGAGCCGTCCAAGAAAGCCAAGCCAAAGTATATTGTATATTGGCACCGTTTTCTTGCCCCAACTATGTCCGTACACTTCTGACCGTTTTGCACAATTCCTATTTATGTCTGCCTGCACACCCTCCCGAGCTACATGCATATACCTGCATATACCTGCAGATGTGTCTACAAAACAGCCCATCGGGCTTGGGATGAAGGCCACTAGTTCGACGCACAACCGGGTATGCAAGGGAAAGAGGGGCAGGGCCCCGGGGGAAAGCGCCAGCAGCAACATGACATCCATCCACCTGCGTCTGGCCACACGGGAAAGAGATGGCAGTGCAGCCAGCGACAAGAACATGCTGCAACAGGCGGTGAGGGGCATGCGCCAAGTTGACCAGGGGGGCGTGTCCCGTGTGCTGTCCCCAGTCGCCCAGCCTCAAACAAGCCATTGAGAATATCAAAGACAACCAGACAGACGTACTCCATACAAAGACGGAATATCCGTCCACGAGTCAATCATAAACACGGACAATCTCCCGGGAACAAAAGACAGAAATACAAACAGTTACAGTCATGAAGACACTTCAAAAGGAAGCATATGCAACTTTGACGTAAACTCCGCACTCCGATGGCCCCATAAAGTGGTCCGGCGTGTCACAGTTCACCGATAGCGTGCCGACTTTGATAGGTAGTTCTAGGCTCCTTCTCCGTAAAAAGATCGTCTGTCTTATTAGCGAAAGGAATAATAATAACAGCCTCCGGCCGAGTTGCGAGACTATCTTTACCAACATTAGAACGACGGATATCTTTCCAAGGTAGGTTCTTGCCGCCGTCATGCTTGTAACAAACCACACGCCCTTGACGGCTTGACTAACCTCATCATGTTGCTCGCTGGTCTAGCGGCCGACCGAGGCTGAAGGCGCGACGAGAGAAGACACTATTTCCCTTGTGAAAAAAAAAAGAGGGCATGGGTCGAAAAGCCCTACCCGCACTCACTCCTTGCTATTCTGGGAGGCTGGGGTGCGGAACGTTGATACTGGGACGCAAGGCAGCTGCAGTTCAGACTAGTTACTCGTGCAAGATCGCGCACGATGAGCTTTCACTACCCCAAAAAGAAAGGAAAAGCTGCTCGATGAAGGGAGATCCGGCACAGCTGCGCGCGCATACTTTTGTGCATAAAAGCCACATATAAAGTGGCCCAGCCAGCCAGCGTATCAAGGTAGCACGGAAATCGTTTTTGGTTGAATTACTCCGGCGTATGCAAACTGCACATGTGGCAACCCGCGGAAGCACGCGTGCAGAACCCGTCTCCTGCACAGTTATTATAGACCATGTACAATACGACGGCTCAGTTGGGCTGCCATCTGAAGAACCAGACCTTTCTTGTCGCCCACAGAGTCTCGCGTTGCCGAAAGAAACGGCCTGGTGGAAATACCTTGATAGAAACCTCCACACCACAAGTCCAGATAAGCGTTGTATGTATGTACATCTACGCTGCCTGTTTGCCCGTCTCGTGCTTTGATGCCCTTTTGTCGGGGCATGTGGTTGGGCAAGGGCAGGTGTTCTGTGCGGGGTCGAACATTCCTCCAGCCTCGCTTCCCTTTGGCTTGGACAAGAGCTCGTCGCAGAGCACACGGACGCTAACTATTGTCTGGCGAAGAGCTAGGTCCGGCGGGCTGGCCAGCGCACAACTTTTTCAAGCTACTAATCCCTGCTTCACACAGCCGTCGTTGCACAAGGTTCTGTGGCACGCCCCAGAATGGACAGCAGCACAAGCAATCATTGGAGGATACTGGCCAGCCTGCCGCCTCACTTTACCTGGCATGGCATGGTGAGCAGGGCCAGCAGAGGCTTTGGATCTAACGCATGTACCAGCGTAGGCACAATTTTTTTGTGCGTCTGTAGATCCGCCAGGAAATTGTGCATAAGACATGGCATCGACATCGAGACCTAAATCGTAAGCAGATCCGAGAAATCCTCGCTTCGGCTGCATTAGCATGACTGTTCGTCCATTGCTGAATGATCCCAGTAATAATGCGCTGTCAGTTCATCACGGGCCAAGCCAAGCCTATACCCACGCCCTTGTCATATCAGAATCCTCCAACCCTGTCCGTGACAGCGCGGCGTCACTGCTCGAATCGGTCAGCAGTCGTTCGCTCCTGGAAAGACACTTGAAAAGAAAAAAGACGGCCCAGAAAAGTTGGGCCGAGTGGAGAGCGGCCTGGCCTTTTGCTCATCGGCCTTCGCAGGTCATGGTCCGCCCAGATCTTATCCAATCGAGGTTGAAGTGGTGGACATGGCCCGTGTGCCAGAACGACGTGGTGAACCCTCATTGGACTGCTGCTGGTCAGCTCCCAACCCCCGACCCGAGTGACGCCACTTTGTGGTGGGTGGACAAGGAGCAAGAAGGCGTGAATCCACCACAGCAAGGCTACAAGTGCTGCGGACGAGTATAATTCTTCGTGGCCAAGTGTACGGCGCACCATCTTGATGACTAGTGGTGGCTCCATCGACACCGCTTGGTTGTTTCGCAATCACGTTGGCTTGTAATCCTCTGTTAGCTCGCTCCGTACGATGTGTGTAGTTGGCTTGTGTGGTGAGACGTACCGTGTGGCTTTCTCAAGGCTGGTACGAGCAGGCCAAAAAATACACCAGGCGTTTATAATCAGTCTGTTCCAGTTCGTCTGCGGCAGTGTTCCAACAAGTCCTTGCAAGGACTTTTGTAAAGCCTTTGTGGGCGGCTAGCAAGAGCCCAAAAGACCCTGGTTTAGACGATCGCTGCCAAACCCTGCAGCCACGGGCACCCATCGGCTCTGCAGCCTTCGATGGGGTTGCGGGAAGACTAATGTATGCACGGAAAACGGAGTGCGGGCGAAACCACGACGGCGGCATCCACCGAGAATGCCATCGTTCTTCCCACATGGGCGCCTTCTGCTTACCCCCCATCAGTTCCACAGGCGCGACACACATTGTGTAGCCAGGGATAGCGTGGCAGCAGTCACAGCATCCCCGTCTGCGATACTGGCACAACCAATTGTCGTCGTCGTCTTCTCAGAGATGTCGTCGGCGACAGCCAATTTCAGCCATGGCTCTCATGAAGAACAGTACAGCGATACCTGGGGCTTGAAACGGGAAACATGGTCCAGTCGCTGGAAAATTTAGCATGTACCGCCAGGCCCTCTGAGACCTACATAGCCGCTGCGCGTGTCATGCAAGTGCTCAATCGGCCAATCGACCTTCCGACTAGTTGGCTGCAGGGACTGGCTGCTGTCAAAAAGCAGCTTGCCACATGTTTTTTGTGGCTGTTATCACATCTTGACGTAAATAGTCGACGGCTATGCAACTGTGCAGTTTTGCAGTGAGTACTGGTAGTTATGCATCGGAGGGGCACGATTTATCGTGCATTGCATTGGTCAGGTTCCCGACACAGCATCGGCTTGCAACGGCGCCGGCCGAGTCATGGGTTCATCTTGTCTGGTTGTAACTAACTTCAGCGCACTTCTTGAGCCATTGCGGAATGTTGCCGCTGCAGACCTTGCAGAAATTACAGGCTCGTTGTGATGTTGATAATAACAGAAGTAGGTTGGGAGGCTGGCCCCGAGGTCCACATGGGTCAGCCCAGGCAGATTATGCACAAGATCCGGTGGTGCTCCTCATGATGATGTGCATACGTGGATAGCATCTTATGCCCAGATCGGTCCAGGATATGGCTTGGTTTTGGGGCGTAGCCGACAGGTAAAGGCTGTGTCTGCGTTCAAGGGAGAGGCAAGTGCCGATCGTACAGAGAAAATAAGCGACGTCCATGTTTCAAGGCAACTGGCCGTCGAGCGCAACGGCTTCTGTCGGAGTGCATGGCTGGCTGATGTTGAAGCAAGTAAAATGATAGTATCCACTGCGGCGTTGAGGAGGTGGGGAGAATTAGCAACGTCCAGTCGCATGACGGTTGTGCCATTCGGAAGGCACATGGTGTGGACGAGAGAAAGATGGAAGGATACGAGGCATTGTCCGACACAGGTGCATAGGAAGGATGGGGGCGAAATGAGGGTGGCGTGGAGAAGGCTGCCAGAGTTGCCAGCAGAGTGTCTCGGAAGTGTGCAAAGCGTGGCACATCTTGGCCTGCTGGCCAGGGACTCTAAATGCAGTCTTGGATCAGGGTGGTGTCACGGCAGGCTAGGCGCTTCAGAGTTAAAAGTAACAACCGACAGTGGTTGGTGCTGGATGCTGGCTGGTCTGACAACCATCGGAGTCGGAATCTTGCAGCGGTTGTCAGCATGGCAGGGCTGCCGGTCCCAGCAAGCAAGTTGGGGGCGTTGACCGTGGCCGGGGTGTTAAAGCTCCGGAGTAATTTGTACATGGCGTGGTTATTGGATGCCGCTGGGCTCTTGTTTGATGGCATTGAGCAGAATCGACGAGAGGAGGGCGCACAACGAGGCAGTGGATCAGCAGGAGTGCATGGCTTGATGACGGCAAGCCAGCAACGTGCGAGAGAGCAGCCTCGTACCAATGCTCGAATGGGTATCGCTGAAGAAGCAGGCTCTAGCCAGGTGCGTGGCGTTGGTGCGAGGAGGACTAACTGTTCGTGGTAACTACATAGGTAGGTAAGCAGTTGGCATGGCGCAGGATCGGGTTTGTGGAGACGGTATCGTGGGAGTTTGGCGCGCATCAGGGACGGGGCGCATGCCACCGAGATGGGGTAGATTTTGGCGAGAATTTGGTCGTAATTTGCCCCATGTCGATGACAACGGCATTTACTCGTCGCGACTCGTGGCTGATGCTGAGGTCCGAGGATGACGCCAGCACAGGCCCCAGGGAGACCAACCTGGCCGTGGTTGGGGTTTCCGGACAAGGGCATTTATTGCAGGCTGGGGCGAAGGATGAAGATGGTCAGCAATAGATTGGCGTGGGACGGAGAACAGGGTTTGCGGCTGCCACAGTGCCACCACTGTCTGGCCATGGCGTTGGTGGTGTAATAATAGCTGCTGCACGAGAAGCGTCAGCCGGCCCGAGGCATCGAGTATTGTCATGCGAAGCTATTTCCCTGCCGAATGAACCGATCCTGACAATGTCGGTACACTGAGTAATATCTGGGGCGGGAGGCGCAAACGCGGCATAGCACTGGCATGTATCGTTGGCCATGCAGACGGCCCAAGAGGTTGTCGTACGGGGTAGCATCTGGTCGCGGTGGCTGAAGAAGCGCTCAAGACGGGTATATTTTAGCGGGCCACTTCATGAAGAAGACGGTCGTGTGGAGGAAAGGTGAAATGAAGCACATGATTGATTGATGATGGTGGTGGTGTTTGTGGTGGCTGAAGTTTGACGTATGATGCTGATGGCGTTTGCAAGGGCGCTCTGCTGCACAGCCAGAGCCGATGCCGAAAGGGACAAGGCTGAAAGATGGTAAGGCGTTGAGATGCAACCGCTACGAAAAAGGCTGCGAGATGGAACAGAAGATGGGCTAGAACTCGGGGAGTTGGTATTAGAATGGCTATAGGGTGAGTGCGTGAATGCAAGGCAAGATGAAC